CATTTTTCCTGACACCTTTTCTGATTCTGCGTTATAAGGCCTCTTAAGTTTTTAAATTGGAGTTTATTTTTAAGAGAGATCTTTAGGTTTTATGTTTGGCACTTTGGGTGTTAGGGCACTAGTTTCTAAATTCATTTATGGATCTCCTTTAGAATAGATATTGTTGAATAACAGTACTTGAAGCAGTCATCTTAAAGCCATTAAAAGACGGTGGTTTGCTTATTGTTTTCATTCTTCAAGGCATACGTATAATTATATTTGAGGATACCATGGTAGACATTTGCTAATTATGTACTTTTAAATCCTAAAATAATCCACATGTTAATCTTAAATGATGATATACCACTTTTTTGATACTTCTTTAGATTACTGTTGTTTATAACTATTATTGCTGAGATATATTTAATTTTGGGAAAGATGCTGTTAATTTTCCCCAGGGAAACTTCTGTAGCCTTTTATTTAGCATGTTCTCTCTCTCTCTCTCTCTCTCTCTCTCTCTATATATATATATATATATATATATATATATATATATAGCCTGGGAAGAAATATTAAGTAGACTTCTAAAATACAGTGTGGTCAGTGATTAAATTTATGGGCTACATGTTTTCTCTTTAGGACTGTATCAACGATATTCAGTTAATCTGTGCACACTTAGCCACATGCAAGTTCCCCTTTCAGGACCTATAATCAGAATGTTGTGCTCTATTTAGACACTTCTCTTGATGTTATAATTAAGAGTAGTGTATACTTTATTTTCACTGAAAGCAATTTGATCTGTATTCTCTTCTTTATACGTGTGTGTGTGTGTGTAGAATATATATATATTTTCCCCCTTCCTATACGTAAGAGCTATAATAACATTGCAGTTACCAGGTTTTTGCTTGTAGCCATTTACAGTTATAGGGTGAATACTATGTTCAACTTGGTACAAAGCAGAAATTAGGAGGTAGGAATCTAATTAGAGTTTTGAAGTAAAATATTTACTAATTATTTCCCTTCTAATACTTAACGATTAAAAAGAAAAATTATGGCTGCCCATATTACAAAAGTATCCTACTTTATTTATGAACATGTGAAATCACAGTATTTAAAATTGTGTGACCTTTTCGAATCGAAACAAAAGTCCTTATTTTTTCACTGTCCGCATTTGCAGATAGGGAAAGTCTTCAGAAGTAATACTATTTCTGTTCTTAGTTGTAGATTTGCCTAGATTTCTGTCCATAAAAGCATCTAGATACTGACAAACTCTCATGATTTAAAAGGTGTATTTAGAAATCAACAGTAAGAATTGAAACTAGAAAATTGTGAGAAGACATTTTCCAAATGCTTAAAGGTACTTAAAAGATTAACTCAGCATGTTTTGTAACTTCACTGGCTGTTTGACTAAGTTATAAGTAACTGTATTTAAGTTGCATTAAGAATCTACTTTCCACTTCTATGTCAAATCATTGTATTTTTGGATATTTTAGAAGATGAACTTCATTTTTAGTATACAGTAATGTCAGGTTACAGTAATGGTTTACAAAACCCACAATTAGATTAAATTCTAGAACTAGTACATGGAATGAGAATACTAAGATTTGTATAGTAATTCTGTACTTTTTAAGTTATCAAGTACTAGAGCACTGTGTGTTATACAGCACTTCCGTCTGGTTGCTAGTAAATGTGACTTGATTGTGAGCATGTGTCACTTACAGAAAATGGTGTGAGATCTTAATATTAAAGTTTTAGCACATTGAGAAGTTCTAGGAATGTGACAAATACTTGCATTCTTGTATTTAGTAAGTCCTTATATTTCAGGTTATTCAAATTATAAATTGGAAGGAAGGAAAACTACTGTATTGATACAAAGTAGTGTACTTAGATGCATGTTCTGATGGAAATACATAATTTATAGTCAATAACATATTACATACGCAAATGTACCACAATGTATGTTTGCAACTTTATGCGTTTTACATGTTGCCAGTAGAATCCCAGAAGATGCTGTGATAAATCATGTGCTTTCCTTGTTAGATTGCTTTTGTTTGTTTTATTTTTTATTTTTTTTAAGGTTTTATTTATTTATTTGACAGAGAGGGAGCACAAATAGGCAGAGCAGTAGACAGAGGGAGAGGGAGAAGCAGGCTCCCTGCTGAGCAGAGAACCGGCTCCATCCCAGGACCCCAGGATCATGACCCAAAACAAAGGCAGACACTTAACCAACTGAGCCACCCAGATGCCCCTCCCTGCTTTTGTTTTAAATGATCAAAATTATTGGTGATCATTGATCAGTTACTTGATTTTTAAAGTTTTTTCCTAACTATAGAAATTATGCTCCTTTTATTCCCCTAAATTGAAAAGCTGAGAAAATAAAGGTGATTTTTAAGATGGAAACAACATTGCTTATTTTCAAAGAAGAAATAGAGGTAGAAAGAATATCTTCCAATTTTTCCCCTAAAGTTTTCTTGCAACTTACCATAGAATTTGTCTTAAGAAAAATAGAAAATTCTTTCCTTTTCATTATTAAATCACTATTATATTGCCATATTTCTAAAATAAATTCAAGATTTTATTTTATTTTATTTTATTTTTTATTTTTTTATTTTTTATTTTTTTTAGATTTTATTTATTTTTTTGACAGAGAGAGACACAGCGAGAGAGGGAACACAAGCAGGAGGAGTGGGAGAGGGAGAAGCAGGCTTTCGGCTGAGCAAGGGAGCCTGATGTGGGGCTCCATCCCAGGACTCTGGGATCATGACCTGAGCCGGAGGCAGACGGTTAACGACTGAGCCACCCAGGCGCCCCTAAAATTCAAGATTTTAACATTTAGTTTTGTATGACTTGAGAATTTATTTCCCCACAATTAAGAGTAGTATTTTTTACCTTGTAAAACCCTTGATCCCTTTTGATCAATAAAAAAAATATTCTCCTTTAATGCTTATATTTTTTAAATTAGTTCTTGTGTTAAAACTAAAGCACATGTTATTGAGTATCGTTTTTTTAAAACAATTTTTCTTAACCTTCTTCTTGCCCAGAGGTAGATTTTATAATCCTTCCCCCATGAGAAGGAATATCCCTTCCCTCTCCTGTGCTGAGGATCTACTAATTAGAGATTGCAATTATTATGTATGGCTTTCAATTAAATAAAACATGGAATATTATAACTTTTTGTTTAGGTGAGAGATGGTCTCACAAAAATCCAACAAATGAGATATTAAAGCATTACACTTTCCTCATGATTTGGCCCTATTTTCCTCCTCCTTTGGGGATGAAATTATATTTGTACATTTAGACAGTATTAAAAGCCTATAAAATAAAGAATTTCAGTTTAAATCTAAGATAGATATAAGCTGGTAAAACATAAAAATGTTTCATTTTTCACAATTGTGAATCCGTTTCACGTCACATTGATTATGCTCTTCTGAGTAGAGCAAAACAAGTTTAGGCAAGATAGCTCCTGTGGGCTTTAGTTACTGCGCCCTGTAATTCTGCAGCACCAATTACCTGCGTCATGTAGTTGGAGAACTTGGCTTTTGAGGCTCAGTTTGAGCTACACGTGAGTATTGATCACCAAGTGCTTCTGACCTTTTAACTTTTTTTCTTTTGACATCTAGGTCAGGGAAGGGAGTAAAGCCATGGTAGAGTTGGACAGGTTTGCATCTAATCACATGTGTGTTCCCTCTTTTTCCCATTCTGGAGTGTGGCTGTAAAATAAAGTGTGTTCTATTGCATCGATATAGAGCAATAGAAGGGGAGGGGTGGTATTGGCACAACTGAAGTTTTTCATTTCCCTTTCCATTTTTTTTATCTCTTTTCATTACTTCAGCAATAAGGTTCTATACTTGATTTAGCTTTATATGTTTAGTTACAGTGGTTGGTAGAAGTAAAGACAGGTGTGACCTTCATTAAAATCATAAATGATCACATCTGTTTTGGAGAAGTGTCAGTTTCATTTGTGTTAAATAGATACGGAATTTTTGTTTTTATAATGTATTTAGTTTACTAATACCTACCTGTCTCTTTCTTGCCAGCAGGCTACAGTAAGATGCTTATACCAGTAAATGTGGGGCTTTGAGTCCTCTATTTTTCTTTTTTAGTTTAAAAACCAGGACAGGAAGAGCAGGGTCTGAGAAGGTAAAGAGTTTGCTTAAAAATTGACTAGGTAGTGGGGTGCCTGGGTGGCTCAGTTGTTAAAGCATCTGCCTTTGGCTCAGGTCATGATCTCAGGGTCCTGGGATCAAGCCCTGCGTCAGTCTCCCTGCTCAGTAGGGAGTCTACTTCTCCTCCTCCCTCTGCTCCTCCCCCCGTGTGTACGTTCTCTCTCTCTCTCTCAAATGAAAAAAAAAATTGACCAGGTATAGTATATTTAGTGGAGCTTGTTATTTCAGAATAAAATTGGGTCTTAGCTTTACATTATTTTTTCCTTAATTTTAAAATTCAGGGTTTTGTTTTACTTATTTATTTGTATTATTAAAATAAATCCAGAATTTTCCTTTAATTACATATATACAGATAGTTGGTTGTGAAAGTATTTAATTGATATTCCAGTTTGTCCCATTTAAAGTGATTCAGTGTGTCTGTGTTAACAGTTATGTAAATGTTCCACATTCAAGCAGGTTAGATGTTATCGTAACTTACTTGCTAGGCTGGTTTTTATCATTTTTTAATGTAACAATAATCCTAAAATCATGTTTTAGTTATCTGCACATGGCTGTCATTTAAAATGTTTAGTGCATTAGGCACTATAGTAACCGTGTTTTAAGTACAGCAGAAGGGGTTCCACGTGTTGGCTTTTGCGAGGTAGTATAAAGGTCATTGTGTACACCTATCTTGACTTGGTACAGCATGTCAATTTTGAAAAGCCACGTGCGGGTTTGAGATTTTGAGATTGGGACTCACGTAGAAAGCTTGGAGTAACAAAAAGTTAAAAAAAATTATTCTCCGATGGCCTCAATGATAATGCTTTAAGAAATCTAAAGGCTTTGATTCTCCACCCCCCCCCCCTTTATAAACAGACAGTGAAGACTGCTGACGGACGCTCGCAATCCAGCCACATAAACGTTAGGAAGGAATACTGGTCCTCATGGAAGAAGAGCAAGACTTACCAGAACAACCAGTAAGTGTCTCCTTTAACAATTTAAAGTTTTTTATAGAAAAGCTAATTGTAAAAGATTTTAAATATTACTCAGTTATACTACAGATTCCAAATTAGAATAAAAATAAGAAAAGACTTCCTAATATTTTCCTTCTAAGAAAACAGTGTTCTTAAATTCACATTTTGTTAAATTAATTCTAGGGAGTCTGCGTAGAAAATTCAGTATTACAAAGTACATATTGTATTTGGAAATGTCACATTAAAGAAGAAAAAAACACCAATGGCTATTCTTACAGTTTTTAGAAAATAAAAGAGGACATCTATTTACCAGTAAAACAGTATATACCATTTTGCCAGAAAACTTAATCTTTACCGAAATTTCTCTGATTCACTTAAGTTTTTAAAAAAGTAATAGTTGACCATTACCTAATTGTTAAAAACAGATAAGATCCTAGAGTCTAGGTTAGATTCTTAATTTCTTTTAAATATTTAATATAAATAAATAAAATAATTCTAAATGTCCCCAGGTGATACAGATTTATTGCCTTTACCATGGCCTTTTGTTTGTTTTGCTCTTTCTGTATTTTGACTCTTAACATTTAAAAAAGGAAAGCAGGGGTTCCTGGCTGGCTCAGTCAGTAGAGCATCCAACTCTTGATCTCTGGTTTGTGAGTTCAAGCCCCACACTGGGCATGGTGCCTACTTAAAAAATAAATAAATAAAATAGGAAAGCAATAGTAATCATCTTTCAAGATACTTTTATATTAAAGAATCTTTTCCTTTTGTGTTATTTCTTTTTCTGAAGTTAGATAAATTCTGAGGCAGTTTACTGTCCTGAATGAGCCTCTTGTGTTTCATATTAAAAGAAAATGTACAATGATATATATTTACCTTTATGAAAATCCAACTTAGAAAAACTTGAGTTTTGCAAGCAGATAATAGGGTATGTTTTTCATGTTCCAGATGTATTCTTTACATCACAGAAGGATGGACATTGCTTGCCTGAAGACCTTTAATACATTTTTAATATTTGTTTTTATGTTGAGAGGTACATACTAATGATTACTTTGCCATTATTCTTTTAGCCCTCTCACTTAAGGTAAGTATAAAACTAGAGGGGCGCCTGGGTGGCTCAGTCGTTAAGCGTCTGCCTTTGGCTGAGGTCATGATCTCAGGGTCCTGGGATCGAGCCCCGCATCAGCCTCCTTGCTCAGCGGGAACCCTGCTTCTTCCTCTCCCACTCCCCCTGCTTGTGTTCCCTCTCTCGCTGTGTCTCTCTCTGTCAAATAAATAAAATCTTAAAAAAAAAACTAGAAAGACATAATCAATTGGTAAAATGACCTTGAAACATATAAAATGTCATCCCTTATCCATGATGGGGCAGCAATAATCAGGGAAATGGTAGAACTAAAAATCGTCCCAGCGGTGTTCCTAGGATATGTGCTATGAGAATAAATAGCTGATTAGCGACATTAAATGTGCCAAAGAAAATTATGTCATTGAATTTTTAATGTAGCAAGACAGAGGTCTAGTCAGGAGGTCTAGTTTCAAGATTTACGTGCTGATACACTATTGAAATGGGTATTGTTAGTTACTCCTTATTTATTGAATGTAATGAGAATTGTGAGGCTGACCTGCTGGTGAGTAATCTTTTCTGGTCTGCTTCATTTCCTTACTGTTCTGTTCAATTTCTGTAACATGATGTGTAAAACTTGATTGTTACTTAAGAAGGTGAGAAATTAAAGCATTTTACTTATTTTTTTTTAAACTTTATTGAATTTTTTTTAACTTTTTTTTATTTATTCATTTGAGACAGAGAGATACAGACCATGAGCAGGGGGAGGTGCAGAGGGAGAGGAAGAAGCAGGCTCTCCGCTGATCAAGGAGCCCGATGTGGGACTCGATCCCAGGACCCTGGGATCATGACCTGAGCCGAAGGCAGAGGCTTAACCATCTGAGCCACCCAGGCGCCCCGAAATTAAAGCATTTTAAAAAACAAATTTTCTGCTGACTGTAAATGGTAATTGTCATAGGGTATCATTTACTTTGATTTGTGCCTAAGTCTTAATTTATAAAGGTAACTGAGTGACAACATGGGGAGGTCAATGCCATTGAAAGAAAAGTTTAATGTTACTCACAGTCCTTAGAAATGAAAGGCATGGCACACCACACAGGGCCATGGGGGAAGCACCAATGTCAGTTAGGAGGCAGAAAGGAGCAAGGGGAATGCAGAGGCCACAGCCTTTATTGGGGTTTCCACAGGCAAGACAAGGTAAACGATTTAAGTTTAGTTTGTTTGAATAATTCCAAGGGCTTTTGGGGGTATTGCGGCTCTCACTGGGTATCTGGTGTCTAGCTCTGGGTGGGGTGATTATAGGAGGGGAAATACTTGGTCTGTAAGTTGGATAAAGGAGATGCATCAGAGTATGGGCTCTAGATCACAAGGGAGATGTACATAGCTTTGGTCCATAGTTTGTCCCTATGATTAGTGGATGCCAAATAGACAAATACAGAATCTAAGAAAACACGGAATATTTATGAACTGTTAAAAATAATTAGAATAGGAAGAGTAAATATTGTACTTTGAGGAGAAAAGTCTTCACAGGCTGTAGTAGAGATCTAAAATTTGAGTAGAAAGAATGGTTCTATCCCAAATTGATGATAATGAATAAAACCAAGAGTTTTAACCCTACCGTTACCTGTATACATAGAGAGATGTTACTGGTAGGCATTATTACCTGGAGTTATGTTATTCTTATTATCTCTTCTTGTCTCTTTCCTACTGAATTATCCCTTTCATGTTTCTTTACTACTTAACTTGCTTCATCTTAAGCTTTGTTCAGGTCATTGTTCACAATGCAACATAAATCCTAGCTGGGGGTTCTCTCTTTCACTCTCCCTTATTGCCAATCAGTCTTCAATCAGAAATGATTCACTCTATGGTCACCAGGTACCTTGAAATTACTCAGTCTCCTCCCCACCCCCCTCCTGCAGCCCAGTCTTCATCTTTTTCAGATACACTGAAGCAGTTGTATTATTGTCCAAACTGGACAATACTCTTGAAGAGTAAAAGGGAACACTAACCAGACTTGGTTTTGGGATAAGAGGTATAAACCAAGACTGTCCCTGGCAAGCTGGAAGCACTTTAAAAACTCCTTTGTGCCTGTCAGGGGTGCTTTCCGAATTCAAGTTTTTAAAGGATACACATCATAGGAAAAGTTTTTAGAAGAATATACAGCAAACTTAATATTGATTATTTCATGGAGGTGATGGGTCAGAATAAGATCTTTTCTATTTTATACATACCTGAATGGGATTTTTTTAAATATGAGCATGCCTTTTGTGTTTAAATTTTTATTTTATTATTTTTTAAAGATTTTATTTATTTATTTGAGAGAGAGACAGAGATAGTAAGAAAGAGCACAAGCAGGGAGAAGAGGGAGAAGCAGGCTCCCCGCTGAGCTGGGAGCCTGATGTGGGGCTCCATCCCAGGACCCTGGGATCATGACTTGAGCCAAAGGCAGATGCTTAACAGACTGAGCCACCCAGGTACCTTGTGTTTAAATTTTTAAAAGAAATTCCTAATACTGTAGACAACAGAGGTGGCAGATGCTTATAACCACAGTGTACTCTCTAGGCTATAAAACATAAAAAAGAGCGAAGCTTGGGAAACATTTTTGAGAACAATAAAAAGGACTTAAAAAATTGTGTTTGGAACTGAGGGTTGCTGGAGTAGTGGGGGGTGGGAGGGAGGGGGTGGCTGGGTGATACACATTGGGGAGGGTATGTGCTATGGTGAGCGCTGTGAATTGTGCAAGACTTGAATCACAGATCTGTACTTCTGAAACAAATAGTGCAATATATGTTAAAAAAAAAAGAAGAAGAAGTTAGCAGGAGGGGAAGAATGAGGGGGAGTAAGTCAGAGGGGGAGACAAACTGAGAGACGATGGACTCTGACAAACAAACTGAGGGTTCTAGAGGGGAGGGGGGTGGGGGGATGGGTTAGCCTGGTGATGGGTATTAAAGAGGGCATGTTCTGCATGGAGCACTGGGTGTTATGCACAAACAATGAATCATGGAACACTACATCAAAAACTAATGATGTAATGTATGGTGATTAACATAACAATAAAAAATAAAAAATTGTGTTTGGGCTTTGAGGGTAAGGAGAAGAAAGAGGGGGAACAGGTGGTGAAGAGAGAACATCTTGACTCAACCCCTAATGTTGTCTTCTCTATGAAGGAGGATAAACTGTAAAGAATAGCATACCTCAATTTTTAAAAATATTTTTTATTTCCATATGTATAAGCAGGGACCTAAGTTATTTCAAATGAGTTCTGTTCCTCCAGACTTACAGCGGTTTTATCCCATAAACCTAAAACTTTCTCAGACATCAGTGCAAAGCCAGCATTGATCATCTGAAAAATCACAGAGTGATCCACAGAACATGGATATTCTGAATTCATGTACTGTGTTACTAGTATTCCCTTGCTCTGTTATGTTTAAAGCATTTTTTTTTTAAGCAGAGGCACAAATAGAACCCTGATTCACGAATTTGTCAGTGGTTCTTTTTGTGTTATCTTTAGTCATAACATGCCCATAAGATTATGTCATTTTTTAAAATAACAGGTTTGAGATACAATTCACATATTCATTTTAAAGTATGTAATTCAGTGGTTTTTAGTATATTCACAGTGTTTTTCAACTATCACCAGAATCAGTTTTAAAACATTTTCAGCATTCCAAAAGGAAACTCCATTCCCATTAGCAGTCACCCCCCAAATCCCCCCATCCCCTGCAGCCCTAAGCAACTACTAATCTAATTTCTGTCTAAAAATGTACTGATTTGTGGACATTTCATGTAAATGGAATCATACAATTTGTGATTCTTTGTGACTGACTTCTTCCACTTAGCATAATCTTTTCATAGTTCATTTACATTATAGCATGTATCAGTGCTTCATTCCCTTTCATTGCTGAATAATATTGTATGGATTTTTTTAATTTATCATTCATTAATTTATCATTTTATCATTTTATTTATCCATTTATCTGTTCATTCATGAGCACTGGGGTTGTTTTCACTTTTTGAGTATTTTGAATAATGCTGTTATGAACATCCATGGACATACATTTCCATTTCTCTTGGTTATATAGCTAGGAGTCAAATTACTGGGTCATATAGTAACTTTATATTTAACCTTTTGAGGAACTACTAAACTGTTTTCCAAGGTAGCTACACTATTTTACATTCTGTTGGTTTCTGGATTGTATTGTTTCAACCCATACTTCTGTAATCCAGTGAAATCTGTCTGTATCCTTTTAAGTTAGTTTACCTGCCTGGAGTATCAGGGCAGTGCATGCTTTCTATCCTTGATTTATAGGAGAGAATAATTGCCCAAGTCAAGACAAATAATGGGCCATGAAAGGTAAAAAATTAGCTGTGATAACACATTTTCTTCCCCCAAACTTTTTGTTTGGTAGATACGATTTTAGGTACATTTTCTCCATTTCTAGTATTACTTATTCTTTGTACTGGGCTGGCACTGTAATAAAAAGTGAAATAAAATTTGAAAGGCCCTATGGTGTGGGTGCCTGGGTGGCTCAGTCAGTTACATGGTTGCCTTCAGCTCCGGTCATGATCCTGGGATCCTGGGATCCTGGGATTGAGCCCCACGTTGGGCTTCCCTGCTCAGTGGGAAGTCTACTTCTCCCTCTGCCCCCCTCCCACTCATGCTCTCTCTCTCAAATAAATAAATGAAATCTTTAAGGAAAAAAAAAAAGAAAGGCCCTATGGTATATTTAAAATTTTTGCTCTAGTGCCCTTTTTTTTTTTTTTGGAATTTATTAGCTAAATTTGTTATTCTGTGATTCTAATAAAATTAAGATTATGATAAGTTAGATTCCTCAGTGCTCCAGTTTTCTTTGATGTATGACTGGAAACTGTAGACTATTTTGGTTACCAGGTCATGAATACATGATCATAAAGAAAGTCTTAGGGTGAGCTAAACATAAATTCATCTCCACTATTGGAAAATTACATTATCATCTGACCTAATGTAAATACTATCATCTTTAGGTGGGAAGGACAGCACATTTTATAACAAAAGCATATATTTTGTCATTTGTGGAATTATGGCAGGCAGGTAAACTAGATAGTTGAATTTTTCTTATGTCTAACTTTGCAATTTCCAGTCAAAATGTCCATTATTTTCTTAAGTAGCTCTTTTATCTCCCACCCCTTTCAGTGGGGTTATATCATACAGTTATAATAAGTTAAATGTTTTTGTCAAAGTCTGTATATCATCCTAGGATTCCTTGATCTCCTGGTTGGTTTATGGTATCTTTTATCATAGAGAAGTTTTGAATTTTTGTATAATCAAATTATTTTTTATTTTATGGCTTTGGAATTTAATATGCTTAGTGAGAATTTATCTGCCTCAAGGGTTCTTATTTGTTTTTGTTTTTCTTCATATGCTTTTGTAATTTTATTTTTAAATTTAGAGGATTAAAAAAATTTTATTTGAGTATGGTCGACACACCATGTTATATTAGTTTCAGATGAACATGGTGATTCAGCTAGTCCCTGTGTTGTGCTGTGCTCATAAGTATGGCTGCCGTCTGTCACCACACAATGCTATTGCCAGTGTGATTGACTATATGCCCTGCACTATGCCTGTTATTCTTAGAGGGTTTCTTTTTTAAGATTTATTTATTTATTTTATTTTATTTTAAAGATTTTATTTATTTATTTGATAGACAGAGAGAGACACAGTGAGAGAGGGAACACAAGCAGGGGGAGCGGGAGAGGGAGAAGCAGACTTCCCGCTGAGCAGAGAGCCCGATGTGGGCCTCGATCCCAGGACCCTGGGACCATGACCTGAGCTGAAGGCAGACGCTTGACTACTGAGCCAACCAGGTGCCCCTTATTTATTTATTTTAGACAGAAAGAGAGAGAGAGCACACATGAGCAGGAGGAGCAGAGTGGAGGGTAGGTGAGCACGGAGCCCAGTGCAGGACTTGATCCACGACCCTGAGTTCACAACCTGAGCCAAAACCAAGAGTTGGACACCCAACTGACCATGCCACCCAGATACCCTGAGGGCTTTGTTTTTAATGCCCCCCTTTTCTTGATTTTCTCTTTATTGGTACCTATGAAAATTAAAGTAGCATTAAATATAACATATGTTGGTATGCCATAAGCAAGAAACCAAGAGTGGTTCTATTTATTTTGTCATGTTTTCTCATGAGGAATAGATGTCCATGAGAAATGTTACGGGCCTTGTATTCATCTGTACTTACTAGTTACCTTATCTGAGGAACTGCTAGACTGTTTTCCGAAGTAGCTATAGTATTTTACATTGTCAGTTTCTGGATTATTTTGTTTGAACCCATACTTGTGAAGTCTGTCTGTATCCTTTGAGTTCATTTACCTGCCTCTAGTGCCAAGGTAGCACATGCTTCCTGATTTACAGGGGGACATAATTACCCGAATCAAGGCAAACAATTTCAGAGATGTTAAATTTATTCATATTAAATAGCTATATTCCCACCTGATATTTTGTTTAAAATTACTTAACAGTGTTTCTGCCTTTTGTTAGCTTGAAATACTTTTAAGGATCCATAATTTTGTATGGCTAAGCATACTAATAAGCATGTTTCTGCTATGACTATTCTAATATTCTAATCAGAGAGCTCTAAAATCAGCTTCTTTGTAATAGGAAAGCAGGGAAATCCACTAGTAATGTTAAATGTTGATCTTCTGTTTGTGGATTCTTAAACTGTTTCAGCGGAAATGCTTTCACCTCAGAAGGAATTAGAAAAGATGAAAATCTGGAATAAAACAATAGCATGCACAATGTTTTTTAAATTGCTCGTAACCTGGGGCTCTTGGGTGGCTCAGTTGGTTAAGTGTCTGACTCTTGGTTTTGGCTCAGGTCGTGAGCTCATGGGTTGTGGGATCGAGGTGAGAAGTCTCCTTGAGTTTTTCTCTCCCTCTCCCTCTGCCCCCCCCGTCTCCCCCTTCCCTCTCTCTCTCTTTCAAAATAAATAAGTAATATCTTTTTAAAAAATTTCTCATAACCTGATAAGAATTTATCTTTATTTTTTTTAAGATTTTTATTTATTTATTGAGAGAGAGAGAGAATGGTAGAGAGCATGAGAGAGAGGAAGGTCAGAGGGAGAAGCAGACTCCCTGCTGAGCAGGGAGCCCAATGCGGGACTCGATCCTGGGACTCCAGGATCATGACCTGAGCCAAAGGCAGTCGCTTAACCAACTGAGCCACCCAGGCGCCCCAAGAATTTATCTTTATTTTTGGCATGTAAATAATTTAGGTATAAAGACATTCCTGTTTAATAAATTAATAAATGAGTAGATGATATTGAGATTGCTGTGCTTACTGTTGGATAATATAATTATGTGTCTGTTAAAAATTAAAACCAACTAGTTTGTATCCACGTTTGGATACTTGATTCTGATAAACATTTTTTTAAAGATTTTTATTTATTTATTTGACAGAGCCAGTGCGCACGCGCACTAGCACAAGCAGACTTCCCACTGAGCAGGGAGCCCAATGTGGCTTGATCCCCACACCCTGGGATCATGGCCCGAGCCAAAGGCATACACTTAGCCAACTGAGCCACCGAGGCACCCCTCTGATAAACATTTTATCTTGAGTAAAAATCTGGTAAACATTTTACCTTGAATCTGAAAAACACTTTTTTCATTAAAAAGAAAAGAGCTCATGTGAAAAACAAGTCCATCTCTAACTCTAAAATATAACAAAGGTTAATTAAATCTAAGCAAAACAAAATGAAACAGTCACCCTGTAATTTATTAATATTGGCCTGCCATTTGAATAGCTAGATGATTTCAAAAACAGATCACTATATTGATGCCTTTGTATATTAATTTTTGCAGGTGAAAAAAGCCAAGATGCAGGAATCAGGAGAGCAAACTTTAAGGTATGTAAAATTCAATTTCTTTTTAATATCTACTAACTTTTTTTTCATATGCTGATTAGTATATGGGTTTTGGGTTGACTACTCACTTCTTGAATTTTAGCATCTCAGTCTTTATGTTTTGAAATTACTTGGTTTAAGATGAAAATTTCCTTCCAATAGTTTGTCCTTGAAACAAATTAAGCGCTGATTTTTTTCTTATTCATTCATTATTTATTCAATAATATGTCCTGAACTCAGTTATCTGTCAGGTCCTGTAATATATGGAAGAGACATGACAGTAAATATTCTTCAGTCAGATGTACCGTATACAGAATGGGAAGAATAAGCAGAAATAAGGGAAATCCAAGGGATTTGGTGTTAATTACCAAATGGATATGGGATGCCTTAATCATTTGCTCCACTCCCTTTAGACAAGAGGCAGCTTTTTTTTTTTTTTAAGATTTTATTTATTTATTTGAGAGAGAGTGAGAGAGAGAGAGAGAGAGAGAGAGCACATGAGAGGGGGGAGGGTCAGAGGGAGAAGCAGACTCCCTGCCGAGCAGGAAGCCCAATGCGGGACTCGATCCTGGGACTCCGGGATCATGACCTGAGCCGAAGGCAGTCACTTAACCAACTGAGCCACCCAGGCGCCCAAGAGGCAGCTTCTTTGTACCTCATACTCTTGCTTCCACAATGCCATGGTTTTGTTTTCCACAGTTCTTACTTCCTGTTGTTTGTCTGTGAAGCAGTAACTACATCACCTCTAACATCTTAATTTCCAGAATCTTACTATTTTAGTACCACACACTGCATTCCAGCTCATGTGTCTATTCCCACACTAGCCATGTGTTATCTTCCTATGCACTTTCCGTTAAATGAGCTATCATATTTTCATTCTTAACCATTGACCCTTCCCACAAAAAAAAAGACTGGTATCTTTCTTATGCTGTTTAAATTATAAGATCTATTAATTTAACCAGTCCATTACAAATATTTTGTGAGGGACTTCTCCTTTTAACTTCTTTTCCCCTTCTTTAGCAAAACCACAACCCTGGTTAAACCAACTATCCACTTATTCCATGCTTATTTCCAATCACCTGAACTTTGTGAGAGAAAAACACCAAACTGTGCTGATCTGTTTTCATTTATAATTACATCTCAAACAGGCACTTACACTAACTCTTGGTGGTCCAGCCACCCTTCCTGCTGTGTTTTATTCCCTAGTCTCTAAAATTAACTTTCTTTGCCTCCTTTCCTCCCTCCCTCCCTCCCTCCCTCCCTCCCTCCCTTCCTCCTCTGCCTCCTTGCCTCCTGGTTCCTCCCCTTCCTTTCATCTCACCTCCCCTCCACTCTGTTCCCTTTCACTCAGCTGGGGATCTTGCTCCCCAATTCAAAGAGAAATTAGAAACAATTAGATAGGAACTACCTCATTTGCCTGTCACCAAATCTACCCATTTATCTGCTTCTCTACAATGAAGTTAATTCCTCTGTTTATATGTAAAGCTGACCCTTCCAGTTACATTATGGAACCTACCACCTTCATCTTTTCCTGCAGTTATCCCTTCTCTCTCCTTCAGTTTCTGTATTATGATAAAATATACATAACATAAAATTCACCATTTCATTCATTTTTAGATGTATAATTCATGACATTATTGCACTCACACTGTTATGCAACCATCACCACCATCCATCTCCAGAACTTTTTTCATCTTCCCAAACTGAAAATCTGTATTCATTAAATAACAGCTTTCTGCTTCCCTATTCTCCTCACTCCTGGCAACCACCACACTACTTTCTGTCTCTGATTTTGACTACTCTAAGTACCTTATATTAGTGAAATCATACAGTATTTATCTTTCTGTGACTGGTTTGTTCTGTTTAGTGCAATGTCTTCAGGGTTCATCTGTGTCCTAGCAGGTATCAGAATTTCCTTCCTTTTTAAGGCTGAATAATATTCCATTGTATGTCCATACCTAATTTTGTTTATTCATGCATTGGTTGATTGTATTGATTATTGACAAGAGTTCTATTGAATGAGAATCAGGTATTCGTGATGCTCACTTTTTGGAGTTTGGGTGTTTCTGTTTTTTGGAACATATTTTTTTTTCATCATATATACACTGTTGAGCAAAATTTATGTTTATATTACTGAAAATAATTAAATTTTGAGGCAATACATAGTTTTCCTAGATAAAATAATTTTAAATGTTTAACAAAGTGCTAGTCAATTTGCTGTATTGGCACTGTTCTTTCTTTCTTTTTTTTTTTTTTAAGATGTATTTATTTATTTGAGAGAGAGCATGCAAGTACAGGGTAAGGCAAAGGAAGAAGGAGAGAGAATCTCCAGCAGACTCCTCCCCGCTAAGTGCAGAGCCCGACACAGGGCTCAGTCTCAGGACCCTGATATCATAACCTGAGCTGAAATCAAGAGTCGGACACTCAACTGACTGAGGCACCCAGGCACCCCATTAGCACTGTTGTTTCTATTGAATCTCTAGACACTCAGTTGAATACGTAGGGGATTTTGCTATAACATAAGATTCCAGGACCATAGGATTTTATACCGTTGTATACCAGATTATACAAATATACCTTCTAAGTTACAGGGTCTAGAAATAGTCTTCCATCAGTGGGTATAACAGTGAACCCCAGACTTATCCAGGTATACACAGAAGACAAAACAGTCATTGTAGTCAGGAATGTGAAGTTCTTGTCTAGTTTTACACCCTTCTCCTGTGAATCGTATTTAAGTAGGCATGACCAGAAGTCTGTATTTTCACCGATTATTCAGGTAATTATAATAATAGGCCAGTTTGGGAAACATTGATATAACTACTCAGTATGATTTCTTCCCCTTACTCTTCAATTCCCATAGTCACATCTTGGTGAGTACATTAAATGCTATTCCAAAAATACAGGCATTTGAGTAAATAGATAAACATCATCTGGGGACTAAGCTTTAAAAATTAATTACAGAGGGACGTCTGGGTGGCTCAGTTGGTTAAGCAACTGCCTTCGGCTTGGGTCGTGATCCCAAAGTCCTGGGATCGGATCCCAAATTGGGCTCCCGGCTCAGCGGGGAGCCTGCTTCTCCCTCTGACCCTCTCCCCTTTCATGCTGTGTGTCTCTCTCTCTCTCTCTCAAATGAATAAATAAATAAAATCTAAAAAAATAATAATAATAATTACAGATGTGCCTGGCTGGCTTAGTTGGAAGAGCATGCGACTCTTGATCTCAGGTTCATGAGTTTAAGCCCCACATTGGGCATAGAGCCTACTTAAGAAAAATAAATAAATAAAAGTTAATTACAGGGCCACCTGGCTGGCTCAGTCAGAAGAGCATGCAACTCTTGATCTCAGTGCTGAGTTCAAGCCCCTGCTGGGTGTAGAGATTACTAAAATAAATAAATAAACTTAAAAAAAAAGTTAATTACCTCTGAGGAAAAATTGTTTGAAAATTCAGAATATATCGGGGGGAAAATCTTGATATTATACTTGAATATTAGAGGTCCATTCAGAAAAGAGATGAGAGCTTTAAGAATTTTGATGCTGTGTATTTTTTATATAAATAACATTTCTTTTAAAAATTTTACTGTGTAGAAACTACTCTTACCTTTTATTAGTCTTATCTTTGGAGATATATGGAGCCTCTGGTACAGTGTTCACTTCTCCCTAGAGTATAGAATAGCAAAGCAGATTTCTTTCTAAGGAAAATGAATGTGGGAAGGATGCCTGGGCTGGGGTGAAGTTGTAATATAATAATAACGGCTATGGTTATATTGCATTTACTCTGTTCTAGTCTCTAAGTACTTTTCATATATTAGCTCATTAATCCGTATAACAACCCTATGTGTTAGGCTCTGTTATTGTCCCTCTTTGACAGTTGAAACTGGGGTACAAAGAAGTTCAGCCCAAGTCATTAAGCTAGTTTTGGCAGAGTAGAATATGAATGCAAGCAATCTAACTCAAGAATCTGTACCCTTAACCACTATGCTATCCTGGTAATTGAGAGAATAACTGGAGAGTAGAAAGTAAGGTAGAAGGAAGAAGGAAGACATTGTGAGGGATGAAAGTTAGTAAAATCTCCATTCCAGAATTCCAGTGAGAATTTTGCCATCATTAAAGTGTCTAACATAATGATTTGTTCTCCCAGTTTATGTGATTTACCTTTTGTAATTTCTGAGTTCTCCTTATAACTTAAAAAAAGATATTGCTCAGGGGATATGATAACAAATTAAAAAAAATTTTTTTAATTGGAGGAAAAGAGAAATACAGTAGAATGAACAATTTTAAGGTTCAGAACCCCCTTCTTGGAAGCAAGCATGTGTAATTTGAGAAAAACTTCTCAAGTAGTTATGAGAACCACTCTCTGAAATCAGACTCTCCCCACTTTCCTGTGGAACTTTGGAAACAAAGTGACAGCGCAGTTTGGTTTGGTTTTTTTGTTTGTTTGTTTTAGAATAATGATACCATAGAGAAGACTTACTTTTCCTCTTACTTGTATAGCCTAGGGAGAGAAATGGGTTTGACGTAATCACTTTTAGCCACACAGCAAGTCCATGAGGGGCTAATGTGTATTCATTTTGGTTCTCTCAGTCAAGTGAGCAGCCCTGAAGTCAGTGATCAGAAACCTGAAACTTCAAGCCTTGCTTCAAACCTGACCATGTCAGAGGAAAGTAAGTACTATATTCTATGCATGATGAAAGAGGTATTCCTATATATGGGTGATGCTGTTCTTTTATAATTGGTTTTCACCGATTGACTTGTTTGTCCCATATATCCGGAAGCCTTTCCTGTCCGTGTGTGTGTGTTTTCATCCTTATGCTCTCATATAAGCTTTATTTGACATACCAGCTGAGGAACAAAATCTCATGGAATCCATTTACCTGAGGAGTCACACTTGGTGATTTTATTTTTGTTTTGTTTCGAAGTTGGATGTTCTAAAGGTATTACTGCCTTACTCAAAATCAGAAAAGTTTGTGGGCCAAGCTCTAACTGCTCCTCCAGAGACACTGATGTTTCTCCACCTTCTAATAACCAAATGACTCTACCTATCCATCTGTGCCAAAAAAGAAAAGTAATCCCCTTAAGAGCCCAAAATTGATACTGGGCCCTGGGGGGAGATCCAGCCCAATAAGATACATCCTCCACTCACCAACCTGCTTTCTCCTATAGAAAAGATACTTTCATATAATGGACAAAAGTTTGTAGAGTGTTCTGGGTTTGTTTTTTTTTTGCAGAAATGTAAGTTTTCTCTAGCATACCCACATATGCCCCCAGGTTGCCTCCATAGGACAAATAGTCATCCCTGGAACTAAATATCAGTGCTTCTCCATATTTTACCACATACTTTAAAAGAATAAATTTGTATAAGACACTTTTTAAAAAGACACTTGTTTAGGGGATTTTTCTTCTCTTAAATGGTTATGCTTAACTTGACGTACTTCCATGTATTAGAAAATGATATGTCTTTAAAAAAAAGGATAGGGGAAGGAAGGAAATAGTGTATTTTGAGCTATGTATATTATTTCCTCAAAGGTACTATTCTAGTGGTTCTCCAGCTCTTAGTGTACTTAAGAATCATCTGGAGTGCTTGTTTGTAATGTAGAATTCTGGCCTCATTTTCAGAGATTATCATTCAGATCAGATCTGATATGGATGGGAATCTACATTTTCAAGAAGATAGCTAGGTGATTCTGATGCATATGAGAAACTGTCCAGACTGTGAGAAACTGCTCTAATCAGGAAAAAGTCTCTCTGATTTTTTTAATGTCCCACTCATCCCCAAGAAAAAGACCTGTGTCTTATATATTCCAGGGCCAGGAAGTAAGTTGAGTCTTCTTGCTCCTTCCAGACCATTTCTCTTTCTCTTTTTCCCTCCAAAAACTCTAGTTCCTTTGAAGTTTATATTTATGCCTCCTCTACCTTTCTGAACTCCTAGTCATTTTGCTCTTTAAAGACTAGGTCTTCTTGGTTTTCTTCTCCATCCAAACTCTTACTCTTCTTGGTGATTTCAAAATCCATGTAGATGACCTGTCCAATACCTGTCATCATATCTGTCGGCCTTTATGGCCCTTCTTACTCCATATGGATTCTTGTGGCTGTTTATTATAATTGTTCCCTTACAAATACCTTTGATAACTTTGCCTCTTGTACTCTCCTTGCTAAACCCGTCCTAATTTAATACTCTCCATCTGCCCTTTACGTACATTCACATAGCTAAACATTATTGGATAAAATATATACCTAGCTGACTTACTACTCACAAGGCCTCAAGTAGGCACCCAGCATGCTTGGAAATCCTACTACATTTCCCTAATGAATTTTACCTTTTGATATTTCACAGCACTTACTTTCCTCTTCAAGTACCCATATCCTCACTTACCTTTCGTCATTCTTAACCGACGGCTCTATTGCAAATAGAAGTTGTCAGACAAGAAACCTCCTTATCCTCCCACCACCACCAAATCATCAAGCCTACCTGCATTTGTACCCATGTTTTCTTGCTTCATTCTTACCAGGACGGAAATAGTATTCTTGCTCCTGTCAACAGTAGGACCTTTTATTTGGGCTCTGTAGCTAACCCTTTCTTACCCTCCACAAGGACTTTGGTATTGTTTTAACTAAGACTGCACCTGCATCATCACATTCTTCTTCTCTTCTTAATCCTTCCTATCAGTAAAGAGACATGACACAGTACCTGCCATTTTTTTTTATTAACATTTGGATTTTAAAAGCAACTTTCTAGCTTTACTTATAATTTCACAACAATGTTTAAACTTTTCTAGTCAAAAAAAAAAAAGCTTATTGTATTAGGGCGCCATCCCCTTTTGGAATTATTTCAGTATAATTAAAAAGAACCTTTTTAACACAAAACACTTGTTGGTAAAGTGGTTGCTTATGTGGTCTTTTGATGAGGATGTTGAGATTTTTTAACTTTTAAAACTTTCTTGCTTTTTTGATATCGTTTCCCTTTCTTTTGCTTTTTCTTTTGGCTGACCTGTTTGTCCCACTCTTGAATCAGTTTTTTCACATCGAGGTTTAGACATGTTTGATCCCCATTCTTCATTGTCGCAATGATTTCAGTTTTCTCACAATAAGAACTTGGGGCAAATTGTATAAGGTCCTTTACGAATTTTGACTAGATTGTTCTTTGGCTTGTGGTGATGCAGGAATAGCATCTATTCCTCATTGTTGGGGCTCTTTTGCCTGCAATCCTGTGGTCCAATCTCCTTCCACCACAAGAACAGGGAAGGCTTTTGAGGATCCACGTAAGCGCACAGGAGCATCTGCCATTTTATTTATTTATTTGTTTGTTTGTTTGTTTGTTTTTTAAAGATTTTATTTATTTGAGAGAGAGAGAGCACAAGTGGCGGTAGGGTCAGAGGGAGAAGCAGACTCCCTGCTGAGCAGGGAGCCCGACAGGGGACTCAATCCCGGGACTCTGGGATCATGACCTGAGCCGAAGGCAGTCGCTTAACCAGTTGAGCCACCCAGGCGCCCGTATCTGCCATTTTAAAACACAAACAAAATCCTCCTTTGGCTCCATGTTCCCCACTAGTTACAGACCTGTTCTTTTTTCCATGACCCATTGGAACTTCTGGAAAGAGTTGCCCTTTCTTGTTTCTTGCCTCCCATTCATTCTTCAGGCCTCTCAAATTTAGCTTCTGTCACCACTCTTCCAGTGAAATTGCTCCTCTCAAGGTCATTAGTTAACTTGCACTTATTCTGAGAGTAGTGGAACATCTACTGGATGTTTCTTCTCATACTCTGCCTCTCACCACTTTTCCTCCCACCTTTCTCTTTTGTTGGTCCTTCTTCCTCTGCCTGAACTCTGAATGTTGGGCCTCAGGATTTATTTCTAGTCCAGCATTCTTTTCTCTTTCTGCATTCTCTCATCCACCACATTACTTTAAATATTGTATACATTGCTGATGAATTCCAAATTTATATTTCCAGTTTGACTTCTCCCCTGATTTCATTTGTATATCCAACTGCCTATTTGACATCACAACTTAGATATCTTAAAGGAAAGTCATACTTAAAATGTGGGAAAGCTTTTGGGATACCTGGGTGGCTCAGTTGGTTAAGCATCTGCCTTCGGCTCAGATCATGATTCCAGGGTCCTGGGATCAAGTCCCACGTCAGGCTCCTTGCTCAGCAGGGAGCCTGCTTCTCTCTCTCCCTCTGCCTGCTGCTCCCGCTACTTGTGCTTGCTCACTCTCCCTGACAAATAAATAAATAAAATCTTTAAAAAAAAATGTGGGAAAGCTTTTTATTCCCTTAGCCTCCCTCAAATCTCTTCTTTTCCCAAACTGCCCCATCTTAGGAAGTGGTTTCACTGTCCCTCCAGTTTCTTAAGCCGAAAACATAGAAATTATCCCATGTTCCCGTTTTCTTCATTCCTTACGTACAGATCCATCAGAATGTCCTGTTTTACCTTCAGAATGTATTTCAAGTTTGCACCTCATCTCCACTGCTGCTAATTCTGATATTATAGCAGTATTATGCCTTGACTGTTTATAATCCTTTCACGGTTCCTAAGTACTGCAAAGATAAAGCCTCATTCATTCTTTAAAGAAGTAAATATCAGCCTAAATCTCCCAGGATGTTTTGTCAATCTCTTCTAGAATTAAATCAGAGGAGGAAAAGGGTTTGGGTTTGGAAAGTAGTTGTCAGCAGGGAAGGAACCATCATGCAGAATTCAAATAAAGTTATATTCTCTGTGATGGATGTGAAGAACTTTAGACTAATTGAGATCTCTTTCATTTTTGTCAAAATTATTATGGATGAATGTGGTCTACAAATTTCCAGTAATTATTTTTAAAGACCTTGAACAATGGCAGTGGACAAGACGTCAATTTGCCTTACTATTGGCCATGAATTGGCCCCTTGTGTGCTCTTGACCAGAGTTCCCTTTTTAGTTCAGACACTCAGGAAACCCAGGTAGACGTAAAGTTAGTTGGTTTTACTCTTAATCCTTATTAATAGTAGAACAGCCTCCTTTTCAGATGTTGAAGGAAGTACTTGGACAGTTCAGGGGTCTGGTACAGGTTCTTTCTGATATAACTCTGTCTACAGCATGGACTGAAAGAGTGCCTAGTGAATAGGATTCTGCTACCTGTCAGACTTGAGTTGAATATTTACAGATGAAATCATGAGGGTTAAACCTGCACAGCAGCTATTTTAGATGAAGTCATAGGGGTCAAGAGGACACTAGCTATGAAAGTTTCTACTTGATGGTTCATCAGAGCATCACATCAGTTCCTCAGATCTGTCTTTGCTTTGCCAAACTTGAAAGCCTTCACCACAGAGCTGAAAAAATAGTGGTATGGAAGCATACTTGCATCTTTTGCTGCATTGTACACAGCAGTAGCAACAATTTTCTAATAGAATGGAGTACTCCCCATCCCCCCAAATCTGTCTTCCTGCAAGTCATTCTTAGGGCTTTTTATTCACATGAGTGGAAGCACTCAGAGAACGAATAAGCTGAAGAAGTGTAATGCGGTTTCTTAGCTATGGATCTTGCTTTTTAAGTTTGCCTGTGAGCACAGTGAAAGCTTAGGAAGTTACTTCATCTGTGGCTTTAGATCAGTGATGGATAAAGATAGAGATCAACTGGTACTAACCTTCAGCTCTTTCCCATACCCCCCACATTCTGGCTTTTACTGTCTCAAAGTCTCTAAACCCATTACTGTAAGAGGGATTTTCTACTGCTTAGTCGTTCTAAATTTCTCATGTCCAAGCTGTAATCTGTTATTTAGTTTGAAAGACTCTACAATGAGATATGCAATTTTCTCATTTCATTTTTGAAATGTTCTAACTTTTTACCTGATGATATCTTTCTTTCAGTTATGACATGCACCGATTACATCCCTCGCTCATCCAATGATTATACCTCACAAATGTATTCTGCAAAGTAAGTTCAATAATTATTTCAAAAATCTATATGCCTTTTCTCTAGGTTCATTTCAAAATTTAATTTGATATTTAAATTATTAAGTGGACATTTAACTTCATTTCACCTCTCATGTTTTCTGACCCTACTCCACTTTTTTTATTCCCTCTAAATGTAGAGTCTTTGTAACATGCTTTTAAAAAGTAGATGGTTGCCTGGAATAGATCACTGTTACCCAGGAGCTTGCTGTAAATGAATGGCCACTGAAAATGAAAAATACTGTTCGTGATCAAAGCATATCAGTGACTGACCTCTGGTCATTCTCTCTTTCCTCTACCTTCCTAGATCAATAAACACAGCACAAGCCAGCCTCCTAGTGGGACTTCTCAGCCTAATCTTTGTTCAGTTTCTTGCTTTAGGAATGTCCTCAAAGTAGAATTAGGCTTAAAGTTAGGCTTAGCGGGTTGAAGTCACTAAGAGGCAACGTTTTGGGCCTTCAACAGGTAAGATCAGCATTTAAGATCCACAAGCTAATCATCTCCAAGATGAGCAGGTACAGAACTGGGTGTATGCCAAACTAGCAAATGGGCGTTGATAAAGAGTGAGCCTGCACATACGTCGATAGATACGTGTGAGTGTGTTTATTGAAGTTGGATGTATTCCCAGGTGCTTACATAGGCAGAACACATAAAGGAATTGGTAACAGAGGTGACTGATACCTATGGGACTGTTTATAAAAAGAAAACTGGCATTTTTTTTTCCTTTTTGTGCTTGTTTATACCTTTTGAATTTTTCATCAGTTAACAAATAACTAAAAGGTCAATTCAATGAGTTCTCCAAATTCTAATCTGGTATTTAACACTAATAGCAATTGGAGCAGTTGTTTTCATATGATTTTCTTCTGTGAAATGACTGAACCTATTCTCTGAGATCATTATGAAGGAAATAAGAAAATACTTTGAGCTATAAAGACACTACAGGAAAAAAGGATATTATGATCTTTAACATATCTGGAGATCAATCCATTTGAAGTCACAAAGATTTTAAATTATTCCCATGTGACTTGATTAACAGCTACAACCTGAGCTATTTCTTGGTTCAGATCTAGCTAAGAACAGATGTGAAGATGGAGGTGCTTTTCCAAATTCATCTGCCTATTCAAAAAATAATTTACATACCTTTTGCATTCAGGACACCTTATTAGCTATGCATTCTCTCTTAATTCAGACCTCTTTAGCACTTATGTGAACCATTGCATTATAGCTATTTTTTAACTCTACTTCAACTTTCTACCCCTTCTAACCCATTTTACAAAGGAGTGTCAAACTGATCTTTATTCAAGAACAGCTCTGATCTTGTCACTCTTTGCTCAGTAATTTTGGTGACTCCCAGTTGTTTCAGATTGGTCTGAACTCAGCCTGGTATTCAAGGTCTTTGCTATCTTTCCTTCTTTTGCTACTCCCCTTCACTTTATATATGTCCTTTAATATAATCTATGCTCCTTAGAGGCTTAAGCCCTGTTTGCCTTCCTCTGTACCTTTGCCAGAGTTTTTCTCTTTTCCTTGAACACCCTTTCTTTCCCATTTCTGCATGTCTTATTTGCTCAGCTCACATACTGCTTCTTTATAGCCTTACTTCATTTTCCTTTCCCCCAAAGCTGAAAAAAATGTTTTCCCCTTCTGAAACATTCCTTTCTCCGAATATTTTTATTGTTCAGATTTATGTGGTACACAAAACGCTTGCATTGTAAGTACAGCATAATACCAAATAAAATAACTGGTATCTAAATATTCAGTGCACAAAGCGTGGGACCATTTTATTGCATGGATGAAATGACCAGGTCATTTAGCTAAAGTCCCAGAAGTTTTACTGCTGAATTCAAATTCCCTAGCTAAACCTGATGTGGTTGGCTGCAACTAATGGCAGTATACTCTGGCTTAAACATCAGTAGGGAGATTCTGAATCCTGCCTGGGACTTCTCAGATTTTATTAGTTATCTGGCTCCTGTTTTGTAGGCTTGATCTGGGGATATTGGGGCCCACCCCTACTCCCTGTTCTTTGATGTGTAGTGGTTGCTTGCCTTTTCTCTGCCAGCCTAACCCTCTCTCAAGTCCTGCTCTCCCTCTTAGAACTTGTTTGGCCCAGAGGGCTGGGTGGAGAATAAGAACCAAATGTTGAGTCCCAATCTGTCCAGTTTTTGGTTACATTAGGCGTTCATTCTATCTACAAGTTTGCATGTAGTATATCACAAATGGTTGTAGCATAGTAATTGGACCTTGGGAGGATATTTGGAATTACTAAATTTCCCATAAAAATGTTTCTTAGGTGATAGTAAAATCTGGAAAGGAAAAATTAGTTCTACCTTCTGACCGTAGTAAGAGACATTGTATGTGGAAGGTTAGTCTCCTCATTGCTGATTTTTTGCTTTTAGTGGTATTAACTATTTCCTCTGTTTTTCATTAAAAATAAATCACACATGAAAGTTTTTATTTTCTTGAACTTTTCTAGACCTTATGCACATATCCTCTCAGTTCCTGTGTCGGAAACTGCTTACCCTGGGCAGACTCCGTACCAGACACTACAGCAGTCTCAACCCTATGCTGTCTACCCTCAGGCAACCCAAACATATGGACTACCTCCTTTCGGTAAGGCATTCTATTATAAGCAGTTTCTGAGGGTGTTGATTTTTATCCCCCAGAAACTTCGATCTTTCCCCAAAAATCAAGTATGCCTAATCAGGAAGCTGAAAGATGATGGGTTGTTCTTTACAGAGTACCTACTCAGTTACAAGTTTGATAGAAGCTGGGTGTGTAACTTTCCAACAGTATGTTTGCTGCATATTAAATAAAATCATAACTTTCAATACTCATTTGTGTCTCTGCCAAAATTTAGCCATTTCCAAGGTACTAAATCTTGACTATAAAGCTTGGAATCTTTAAGTGTTTGGGAAACTCTTTGAGGAATTACTATTTCTTTATATAAAACATGTTACCATGGTTAGATAAGCATAATAAATATATTTTGAGGTGATTCATTTTCCTGCTAAAACTCGGTAATCTAAATATCCAGATAGAGTATGCCTTATAGTGTACTCTCCTTTTTTTTTGGTCAATTTCTCCCTCTTTTCCTCCCTCGTTCCTAAACTGATCAGTTGTTGCTCTGCTGAACCAACAAGTCATCTTAGAATGAGGAGAATCCCCAATTTTATATAGCCTTATCTTGTGCTTTGTTTGTTCTGTGGTTTTAGGTATGTTGGACATGAACTGTGAATTAGATTGATTTACTAGAAGTCAGTTTGAGACTCTCTGAGCACTTAACATCTGTGCTGATTTTTCTCTGTGTGTGTAAGTTGATAGATATATGCAGTGTGCTTTATTGTCCCTTTTCTAGTTTCCTAGAACCAGTGTTAGAAAATTGAGAGAATACTGTATTATTTTCACATATGCAGCATGTTAATAAAATTATATCTCTGTAGCCTTTACTGAAACTAGCTGGAAATTAGATCTTCTAAACAGATCGCCACAGATTCTGGATGTATTGGTGTTGCCTGCTTTTGGTTTCTACGTTCCTGCTTTACCTGGCCCATTTGGCTAGTCCTTTATGATAGTGACAGCTTTCTTAGTTTAGGCTTGCCTTGGCTCCTGATAACTACTAGAAACAAAAATGGTAGGTTATATATTAATGATAGTGGTAGTTGATAACTTCATGGAAGAAGACAAACAGAAATGCTCTTGTTTCCCCATCAGTATTAGCCAGTATACTAAAATCTTAAATTTGTTATATATTTAACCAGCCAAGACTGAGCAGTCCTTTTGGAAATGGGATTCTCTGTGAATATGTTTGTGCTTATATCTTTGTGCATATTTTAAAGCTAATTTTTCAACAGCTGACTAGTAAAAGCTAGCAAGTATAAAGTAAGTATTTTTATATCAGTTTTTTACCTTCTGTTTTGATTGAAATTCATTATTAGCAAGCCCAGAACCATTTATGACATTGTTGAACTGTTGGTCATTCCTGCTGTTCAGTATTTAATAAAACTCTATTATATCTCTGATCTCAGATTATGGAATACCTAACATAGTGCCATGTGCATGTTATGGTATCTTTTATGATCACTGCATTTCCCTTGTATTAAAGAAAGAAAAAAAATTCTGTATAATAGGTCCTTGGTAAAAACTTGAAACTGTTTATATTGTAAAGAAATATTGGTAATAACAGGCTCTTTCATTAATCTGGTTTTGTTTAATATTTGGGAGTGAGGGAGACTTGTTTCATAAATTCTTCTATCAGTATTTCAAAGAAAGAGAATCAGCTAAATCTGACTCTTAAGTAATATATGAAGCTTACTGGAGGGAGACTTAGGTTGGGGCAATGTGAATAGTAGATGTGGCATATTCTCAGAACTTGTTGAGGAAATTATAGACATGACTTTTTTTAAAAGTGTGTTCACTCAGTGTAAAATACTCTTTCTTTCTTCTTGTGAAGATTTGGCAATTTTATCTTAGTGCTGCCTGTTAGCACTAAAATTAGATTAAGTAGTCTGTTATTTTATGTCAGATGTAAACAGGGCTTTGGGAAATCTCGTTATAATAATATCTAATGTTTATGAAATGCATTATATACCATGCAGTATTCTGGGAACAAGTACCTCACGCTTTACAGTATTGTCTTATTTAATCTTAGAACAATCCTAGGGAGTAAACAGTAGCATTATCCCTTTTTATAGATGAGGAAACAGGCTGAGAAGGATCAAGTGACTAGCCTGAGGTCATACAATTAGGAAATGCCTGGGTTTAGAATTGAACCCAGGTCTGTTTAATTCCAGAAGTGCTCGTAAGTTTAGTCTGTGTCTCAGAGTTGAGTTTGAAATTTAAAAATGTTCCTCCTCTTGATGAAAGAAGAAAAGACTAGAGGAAATCTAGGAGGCTTATACTGTGAGCAGTCTGTAAAAGTAAAGGAATAGTGGTCATATTCTTTTTAAGAACTCCATAGAAATGTAGTGGAATGGCAGAAAGAGAATTCGAGGGTTAACTTCCAGTGATCTCAGTGAACATGTGGGAGGAAAGGGGCACCCATTTATTTTTAGGAGCTCATAAAAGATTACCTTAGCTGCCACTATTCAGCTTCTTTTGAAAGAACTCTGATGTGAGATGGAGATTTGGTAATACTATTAAGAACCTTAAGGATGTTCATGCTATTTCCCCCAGTAATTTCACTTCTAGGGATTTATCCTATGGAACTAATTAGAGATACCCACAAATTTTCAAACCAAGATACGCATCACAGCATTATTTATAACAGCAAAAGATTGGAAGCAGGCTACATTTTGAATTGAAAGGTGTGTGTTAAATTGCAATGTATCTATAGAATGGAAAACTTAGAAATCATATTCTTATAAATTCACACTCTTAAAGAATATAGAGCATCTTGAGAAAAGTTTATTAAAAAAAGCATTATGTAAAACTAAAAGCAGTATAATACGCCAAGTTAATATTTTTTAAAAATATATACATAAAGAAAAATTTGGAAGAAAAATGTGAATGTTGCAGTACAGGCACTACAGATTTGATCTCTGTTATGACAGAACCACGTAAGGCAAGGACATAGTTGCATTATGCACAGGTTTCAGGTAATACAGTCCCGTACAAAAGCAAGAACTGCCTGTATTTTTTTTTCTGTGCAATGAGACTGTGCAATTTTTTTTCTTTTACTTTCTATGTTTTCTTCATTTTCTGTAACATACATCTACTCCCTTTATAATTAGGAAAAATACTCAGATTAAATTACTTAGTATTTGTAATAGCTCATCCCAGTGAGCTATCGAATCAACAAACCAAGATGTTCTTTTATGTGTTTTTTCCTGAGCATTGGCATATACCTCAGTTCCTAACCAAACTAATTTTTCTCTAAAGATCCACTACTCTGATATGTATTACTATAAACTGAGCTGCTCCAGATTAGTTTGGTTAGTGACTAACCAAGGGTGAAGTGTTTGTGCTGAGAAACTTGGGTAGAGTTTGTGATAAGACCCCACCGTGGGGCGGTAAGAGGAAAGCACTCAGAGACAGGCTTCATTTGCCATTGTTACGCCAGCTGTTGTTACACATCAGGCCCTTGGTGCTTAAAATGACTTGATAAGCTTGGTAGTTACAGGAAAAGAGCAGTGGACTAGGAGTCGGGAAACTAGGATTTGGTTTCATCTTCACTATGGGCAGTATTGCTCTACAGTCAGATCATTTGGTCATGCTGCCTGTGACTTGGAATTGTGGGAAGGGCGCTTTTAAAGGAAGATATTTATATGCTTTCAGAGCAAGGCTACCATGAAGCCAGAGGTGGTATTCATATGGTCTTTTATTCTTCTATTCTTTGTAAAATAATTGTATTTTAAATATCAACTTCATGTTTCTGGTCAAAAACATTCAAAACTACCATAAGTAGCCATTTCCCTACTTGCCTTGGACATTTTGCCCTGGTTTTTGACCTTATAAGAAGGGCCAGTTCATAGACATTTTATATTTTGAAACTTAAATACATACTAAGTAATGAGACTGGCAAAATATTTACAGGTAATACTATTCTCATTAATAAGATTGTATTTTCGTGCAGTGTAATCTGAGTGTGTTCACAGATTCAACACCTCAGATTTAAAACCTATTTAGAAAAAAAAATCACACTGATTACAATAAATCTGAAAGTTATTGTGACATTGAAATGGCAGTTTGTTTCCTAAAAAATGTGATACTCAACCAGGAAGAATCATGGCACTGATATTCAAATTTCACATAAATGTTTAAAAAATAACACTTTCAATATTTTTAGTGTTGAAATTTAGGTTTAGTTAGGACTTTAACTGTGGCTAATGATCATAAGCTAACCATGGAATGGGGGCCAACCCTCCTAATGCATGCTAGAGATGATGGTATTGTTCATTCTCCTCAAATAAGTTATTTCATGTGTTTAATAGGTGAGAAAAGAATATGACTTTTTTGTGTGTGTTTTGACTTTGGAACAAGGCAATTGCCACATCCCATGTCAAAATACATCTCCCTTACATTTACTAATCAACAAATTTTACAGATCTGAGTTTCACCTAGATATCTCAGTGCCCTGGTGAAGCAGAGGACTCTATTATCAGTGCATTATATTTCTGTAAATTCAATATTAGATTAGAAGTGAATGAAATGAGTTAATATTGAATTTGAAGCTGTGGCTGACCTTGGTATTGATTTCTGACCTGGAATGTGATTGATGAACCTTCTTGGACCTAATTATTAGCTTCAACTGCACTGATCCACCAGCCATAGCTGTTCAGAACACAGTGAACAACCAGACAGTAAGATTTTTTATAGATAGATTTTTGTATAGCCAAAATTGTCACTAAAACTGTTCACCATAAAGGACATCCTTAGGCTGTCATGTAGAATCAAAGCTTCATTTATGGTTTCTTAGTTTACTGCAAATGAAAAAGGAGATAAAGTGAGAAGCAAGAGAATGTCAAGTGACAAGTCGCAGAGAAAAAAACAAAATGATATAGAACTATAACTGAGTTCTATTTAGTACTAAACAAATGTCTTTACATATCCCAGTAGCCTCTGAGGGTGTCTCTGTAATATATATAGCACAGCACACTATTAATCTTTGTGACAATAATTCTGAGAAAATCTAAAGGTACGTTCACTATTTCCTCCCTGCAAAGAAGGCAGGAAAAGATATAAATATATTTTAGAAAGATTGTCATTCAGGAGCATTGTGATAAAAATAAAATAAAAGTGAACAGCTATGAAATTTATCAGTATGAGAGATTTACATGTTCTGACTTGGAAAGATGTCTTTCACAGGTATGTGGAAAAGCAAATTATGAACAGTATGTATAACATCCCATTTTTATTAAAAAGAAAAAAGATTAGTAAATACATAGAAGAAATCTAAGTGACTTCTGCAAACTGTTAATAGTGCTTAAGTCTGGATGCTGGGATTATTATGACTTTATTTTTTCTAAGTTATATATTTCTGTAATGTTTTTAATTTATAAAAATAAGCAAGTATGTCTTTCCTAATCAGAAGAAACAGGTGACAAAATAACCAGCTTAAGAAGGCAGAAAAGTACTTAATACATTTTAGAAAGATTTGGTGCTTGTTTAATGGGTAAGTGAATTTTAAACTTATGTGGAATGTCTCCCACCTTGACAATGGATAAATGATTTATCACTGTACATGATCATCAGGCACTATCTACAATAAATACTCCTGTTGGGTGTCAGTAGCTTTTTTTTCTGAACCCTGGTCAGTCTCCCTCAACCATTGAAATGAACTTTTATATATATATATATCATTATTGGGGTTTTTGACAAGATTTTTGTTTCTGTGGCCCCACTCCCCAGTCTTTGAAATTGTATTTGCTTGTGGTATATTGTGAGTGGGAGAATCAGTAATTTTCTCTTACAAGCAAATTTACTTTTGTTCTAAGATTTAGGTTTTAAACCTACTGGCTGATATTTGAAAGCATAACCATGCTCCTCAGTCCCAGTGTATTGTTTGTAATTGGTCCAATTTATCTGATTCAGGTGCATTGTGGCCAGGTATGAAACCTGAAAGTGGTTTAATTCAGACTCCATCTCCAAGTCAACACAGTGTTCTTACCTGCACTACAGGGTTAACCACAAGCCAGCCAAGCCCAGCACATTATTCTTATCCCATTCAAGGTAAATAGGCATGGTTGTGTGTGTTTTATTATTGTTGTTTTGTTGTTTTCAGCCTATCTGTATCTCCAAACAAATTGGGTAATACAGGAGCTCTGTCCTGTAAAATAGAAGGGGGTGATATTTGCATTTGTGCATGCTTTTTGTGTTAGGCAAACCAGAACCCAAGACTGTGGTTTGTAAGTAGTTTAGCCTTTTAACTGTGAACTGCTTCGTAGAATTGAAGCCTTCCCTTTTGCATGTTGGTGTCCAGAAAACCTGTCTGATTTTGTTTTAGTCTGTTCTCAGTGGCATTTTGTCCTATAAATGAGCAGAAGATTCCATGGGGTAGAACTTTGCTGACTTCTTTTATATGAAGTCCACATAGGGCAGAAGTGAGATGTGTGCTGCTTTTTTGCTACTGTGTTGTCATACCTGCACCCCCACTTGCTGCTTCTTGGTGAGAGCATTTTTCTTTCTCAAAAAGTTTAGTCTTCTTTCTGTTTCATGATAAAAAGCATAGCCTTAAAGCTTGAACTCTGAACATCTTTGCCTTCCTGAGTTGTTCTTCTAAAAGGTTAGAATTATGACAGGACTATTAGGAATGAAGACAAAAAAACTCAGAAGGCACGGTGGAATTAATTCCCTGCCCTTCCACATCTAACACAGGCAATTCATCATTGCTCCAGATTGGAAATTAATGTCCATGTACCTGGCTTCTCATCCGCCTCCTTTCTCCTGAGTTCTCCCAGCTTTAAAATTTTATTCCTTTTAAAATGAGTGCTAGAGGAGTGAGGATGGGACAGCAAAAACTGGTCTGAGGTACTAGTAAGATATGAACTTTGGTGATGAAAAAGTTTTTATGTAGATTATATTAAATTAAATATTTTGCTACTCAGTTTTGTTTTCATTTAAATGATTAAGAACTACTTCTACTTGATCCATTTACCAGTTAGTAAATAATTAAGTCAGGATGTAAGCTGGGCAATCTGACCTCAGAGCATGAGTGCAATATTTATCATTTTCAATATTGAAATCCTGATGTCAGTATCAACTCTCCCATAAGTGATAACCTTTACTGACAGATAACTAAGTTTATTTTTCCTCCCTTTTTCTGGTTAACCTCTTGGCCCATTTTGTTGTTCATTAGAACTTTGGCAGAGGGTAGAATTTAAGGCAGAAGGTAACCATCAAGTTATTAATTTTTGCCTTTATTCTGAAGAAAAAATTGGTAGAATACAAGTTGAAACAATTGGCTAAAGTGAAATACGAGTATTGGCAGAATCAAATTACCTGGGTTGTCTGCTATCAATATCACTCTCCTCACTCCCACCTTTAATTTCACTTAGCATGGATAGTGAATGTTAGCTATCCAGGGCTGCTCTGTTCCCCCTGTGTAACTATCCAGTCCTTCCACAGAATAAAAATAAGAAGAATTCTATCAATTTTTAAAAAGTGGTCAGAATAGCAGTGACTCCTCATCATACCCCAAAGCATTCTACAGTTGACATATAGAGTTGTCAGATCACTATGTTGTACACCTGAAGCTGATGTAATGTGTGTCAACATACTGCAGTTTCTTTTAAAATGTATGATTTCAACCTAAAAAGAATTATACTTCTGGCTTCATCAACTCTGATCAAAACCCTTTCTTCAGTTTATACAACAATGCTCATGAAAACCCTTTGGTTAAGTAGATCTGGCTTCTTTATATCAGTCTTTTCCTGGGGTATAACTATGTGGCCCCGTCTCTTATTATTTTCTTCAGTTGAGATGGCTTAAATGGTTAATATTCAAGTGGTAAAATTAATTTTAGAAATTTCAAAATTAATTTTAACTCAGTCTTGACTTTTAATGAATGTGTTTGCACTCTAATACTGTTGGTAGCACATGATAGTCTTTTTTGATTGTCTTTCATTCACCAGGAGTTTTGTTTTGTTCTGTTGTTTAACTTTAGTTTTTAGATTAATTTTACATTTACAGAAAAATTGAGAGGATGGTACAGAGAGTTATATATCCCCAATCTTGCATATAATTTTCCCTATTATTGACATATTATATTAGAATGGAACATATATTACAACTAATGAACCCATATTGGTACATTATTATTTCCTAAGTCCATTTTTGTTCCAGGATCCCATCCAGGATACCACATTTCATTAATTGTCATGTCTACTTAGGTTCCTCTTGTCTATGCAGTTTTTCAGAGTTTTCTTGTTTTTGATGACCTTGACATACTATGGATGAATCCCACAAGTTATACAGGAATATACATGTCTATAAGATAGACATGAATCCCACAAGTATTTATTGAGCATTACCTACTCCGTGTCAGGTTTTTTGCTAGATATTAAAGATAATGAATAAGATAGCAAGATTCTGCCTCTGGAGCTTACAGACGAGTGGAGGAAACAGAAAACAAGCAAATAAATAATTAAATAGATTTTGAAAAGTTCTCTGAAAGAAAAAAAGAATAGATTGCTGTGATTGGGAAAACAAGGAGTTTTGTTTTATTTTATTATTATTTTTTTAAATTAGCGTGCAAATGGGGGGTAGTGGGGAGGGGCAGAGGGAGAGGGAGATGGAGAGAGAGAATCTTAAGCAGACTGTATGCTGAGTGTGGAGCTGGATGCAGGGCTTGATGGCACGACCCTGAGATCATGACCTGAGCTGGAATCAAGAGCTTAACCGACTGAGCCACTCAGGTGCCCGAAGGAGTTAGTTTTAATAGAGGGGTCAAAGAGAGTACCTCTGAAGAAGTAGACATGCTGAGGAGGAGCCATCATGCTGGGAGGGCAAGAGGGACAGGCCAGGGAGAACAATCCAGGCAGAGCGAGTAACATTGCAAAGGTGCCCAAGTGAGAAAGAGCTCGTCTTTATTTTGAATAACTTGAAAGCCAGGTAAACAAGGGTGGTAGAGAGAGACATGTATAAAATTAGACATGGGTAGAAAGTAAATCTTGTGCCAACTTTTATGTACCATTGACCCTTAGGTCGGCCCTGTGGCTTTGGGACAGTGTCATTTAATTCGGCTGTGCCTCTCACAGTTCTCTGACCACCGTCTTCTGATTAAAGCTGTCTATATATGTTGACTGTATTATTTGGACCTCTAGTGGGGCATGGTTCTTCACAACACACGAGGAAACTACTGAGTCTCCCCTTCATATTTATTAATTGGACCTCTAATGGGGCATGGTTCTCAGAATCTTTGTCTTTCTCTTATTTCACAGCTCCATTGTCAGAACAGGAGTGGAGACTATCCCAAAACATTTGGCCATGCCATGGCATTTGGAGAGCTAATAGTCTTCAGATATATATCAATAGGATTGAACACTTGAGTTTTATTTGATCCTCTAAGTTTGTACTTTTTGTTGGACCTTTATTGCTGCTGCCTTTGTTTTTTAAATCTGCAGTTGAATATTATTTGTTGAGACATATATATGTGTGTGTATATATATGCGCAGAATGAAAAGTACTTTTTTGAGATGTGTGGTTTTTTAGTCATAGTTATGTGTAGGGTAGGGTATACAGTGATGTGTGTACATTTTTAGGTGAGTTTAGCTTGGGTTCAATGATGGTTACAGGAGCCTAAAAAATGATTTATTTAATTATCGTCTAACTCTGTCAATGGAATCTAATCTCCATGAGGGCAGGGACTTTGCCTTGTTCACTACTCTATTCCTTAGTGACTGGAACAGTTTCTGGGTGCATAGTGGACCGTGGTTTGCTGAATGAATGAACTATGGCACATATGAGAAATGATTTGAGTGAGTTGGAGAAAGAAGTGTTACTGAACCCTATAAACTTTCTAGGTCAGCAGGCCAACATTTCCTATAATAGAAGTCACTATTGCTGAAAGTAGTTTGTGATCTTTAGTAAGGTACTTATTTAAAATTCAGTATCAGCAACTAGCCAATCAAGTCATTAAACTTCCTAGTGGAGATACTAAGAGTATATGCCCAGTTGTTTGTAAGGTCTACCTTTTTACCTCTAGCCCAGTTCAATAAGTGGTCTGAAAATTGTTAAATTTATAAAACCACTTTGTCAGTCAGAGTACCTTTTTCCCCATGTATGTGAAGATCAGATATGAATGGGTTGTACTGCTAACCATTTAGTTAGTAAGAAGGTAGAACAGAATTAAAGGTAAATAGGAAAAGAGGAGCATGTGCTAGAATAAAGACCAATGAAAAATTGAGCTAGAAATGGACTTTTCTAGGAGAGATAAATTTAAGAGATTAACTAAATTGTTAATTTTCTTTCCCACCTTAAATCACCTTATGTCCTTCTGTCTGTTTTATTGCATGGTTGCCTAGCATAATGTACTGGTAATAAAACCTGAAAGCCACTCAAAATCTCTACCCACAAGAATGATTAAAAACTGGGCGCCTGGGTGGCTCAGTTGGTTAAGCGACTGCCTTCGGCTCAGGTCATGATCCTGGAGTCCCGGGATCGAGTCCCGCATCGGGCTCCCTGCCCAGCAGGGAGTCTGCTTCTCCCTCTGACCCTCTTCCCTCTCGTGTTCTCTATCTCTCATTCTCTCTCAAATAAATAAATAAAATCTTTAAAAAAAAAAAAAAAAAGAATGATTAAAAACTACTTACAGAATCATCTAAGCCTATGTACCGTACAGTAATTCCTTGTACTTCCCCGTCAGGGGGGAAAATAGATTAAGCCATAGTAGAGAAGAAAAAATATTGGTAGGAAGAAAATACCATCTGTGAGGTTATAAAATCTATTTCATTTGGTTGTTATGTTTAAGAAGGTAAACTCTTAAGAGTCCTTTCGTTCCCCTGGGGGAAGAAGTATTGTAGAAAAGAAGATCTCCCTGGATGGTCAAGAAATCTGAATCCTAGCTCATCCAGTTGGGAGATCCCAGTCACCATCATGACTACTACTAGTTCCATGACAGTAGACAAATTACCTTAACTCTTCTTTGTCCCAAGTTCATTTGAAAGCTGGAGTTGCAGCAATAGCTGTTCCTTGGACTTTCTCTTCTAATCTCTTCTAGACTTTCTTCTAAGAAGAGTACCCTTGGGGAAAGGGATAAGAATTCCCCTGATTTTGATGAGTACTCTCACGTTTCTGCTTCATTTGTTCATCTGTTCTGTTTTTAATGGAGGTTTTCCTATTAACTTTACCTGTAAAGGACTTTATTGCTAATGGGATAGGTAAGTCAGATAGTCAGGTCTGCCTGATGGTGAACCCTTATGGCGTGTGTGACAGCAGTGGGAACTATGTCTACGTGTGCTTATGATAAGCGAGGGAGAGGAGTTCAAGACCAGTACCTCACAGTCTCCGTTACACTGTCCACTTGGAAAAAGTCACTTTAGCAAATAGTAGTCCCTAAAAATTTGACTAAAACCGTGGTGGGATCTGTGATGGGAGGGTATGAAAAAATTAGCCCAAATTCCTTGTCCAAGACAGGCAGCCTAAATAGCTTACAGAGTACATTGTTACCAGGCCAGAATAATATTTAATATTTTCCAAGATTTTCCAAAATCATTAAATGCCAGATCATCATGTTTGTTGATCCACATTAATAATCCACAATTTGAGGAGAGCCCAAGAAGCAACTCCAAGCACGTTTGGGGGACCAGCTGTATTTCTCAAAGTAATTATATTGCATTAGGAAAGGCATAATTTGGGGCAAGTGACAACAAATATCACAGTATAGAATTTACATGTGTATCTACCAGAGCTCTTGTTTCTGTTGGTTGTCAGTAGGTCACATCGCAGGTGAGTCATTTTTCAAGGTCTCAGAAGATAGACTGGAGTGATTTGGTTTAGCTTCTAATTCCATTGATATCCTTAGTATGAGCCAGTGCATTTTATACATACCCTTCCTAGGACTTTAATAGGAAGAGTTGAAAACTCAAGCTGAAACAGAAAAATGGTTGAACTGTTTTATTTCTAATCAAGACTAGAGTAAGGTATGGCACACAAAAGAGCAAAATCAGTATTTGTTTCCTTTGCACGATGTTCCTGATATCCTTATAGATCTGTTTACATAAGACACAATATGTTTTCCATTTCTTCTAGGCTTTTACATGATATCTTTAACATCTTTTGACATTCTTAATCCTATAGCTTCAAGCACAAATGCCAGCCTGATACCCACTTCATCTACAATTGCCAATATTCCAGCAGCAGCAGTTTCCAGCATCTCAAACCAGGTACTGTGCTACCTCATTCATCCTATTTGATATGGTTCATCAAGCTTGCTCTTCTCTTCACTCCATGGTCAGTTTTCCAGTCTAAGAAACAACCAGCACTAGGACCCTGGATGGTTTCTCAGGCTGCCATCCGGTTTCTCTCATTACGCTGCTAAGTCTCTGAATGATATGACTGTATCTGCTCCTTCATCTACTTTGTGAGTCTGCCTTCTACTTTGTTCCTACTAGAATGTAAGCTCCATGAGGATAGGGACTTCTTTTTCTATTTTGTTCGCTTGTATATTCCCAGAGTTCAGAAAATGCCTGGTTCTCACATTAAAGACACAAAATAAATATTTGTGGAATGAATGTTCCTTCCACTTTTTTATTTAGCCACTTATTCCTTTGTGAATTCTTTGTAGTCTGGTCTTGATCCCTGTTCTATTAACTCTTTATGTTTAGATCACTGGTAATAGCTTCAGTGATTAGGGTTTTTTGTTTTTGCTGTTAGGTTTTTATTTGTTGTTTTCTCTGCAGCAATGAATCTTTTCTCCGTGAATCTCTTTTTCTGGCTGTAATTAACATTACTATTCTGGTTCATCTTTTATGTTTGACTGTTTTTGCATTTGTTCATTCTTATAGTTCACAAATTACTGAGTTTCTACTGTACACCTGGCACTTGTCAGTGTACTATTTATCTCTTTCCCTTTCATAGGTTTTCTTTTTGATCCTCTTTTCTCTCATGGACAGTATGTAGTTTTCCACATGCTTATTACTTCATCCCCAGAAATGTTTAACCACATTCACAGTGTCCATTTACTACCTCCAAAATGAACATTCTAGTCCTGACCTCATGATATCTACAGGCTTCCTGCTGATTGATGCCCATTTTTTTCTTTAATGTCTTGCGATATCCTTAAGTTCATCATATCAAAAACCACGCTTTCATTCCCCTTTTTTTGTCTCGTTGTCCTCCAAAAGTAAAACCACTTTTCCCTGTGACTTCTCAATTGTCAATGAGACCATTTTTAAATAAAGCTAGGCCTCAAACCAAACCAGTTGTTTTTAGTTTTTTTCCTCACCCATTTCTAGAATTCTTTTCCATTTTTGCTATTATTTCCCATGTTTTGGCTTTTCCCCTTTAATCCTGAGTTACTTCAGTTAACTGTTCATCTCATCTCCAGTTTTTCTCTATACCTAACCATTTCCTAAAACACTATCTGAAGGCGCCTGGCTGATTCAGTCAGTGGAGCGTGTGACTCTTGATCTCGGGGTCATGAGTTCAAGCCCCATGTTAGGGTTAGAGATTACTAAAAAAAATTTTTTTTAAAGATTTTAAAACAGAATCTGAGTAATTTTCTCAAAAGCCCACGTCAGTCATCTGTCCCAGAATCTTTTTGTATTTTTGTTGTTTTGATTTTGATAGTCCCTATTACCTGCCCCACACACAAACTATACACCATTGCCAAACTATACACCATATCCAAGTCACATTCATGGGTTTGCATGACTCATTCAAGCCTGCAAGATCTTTTGTTTCAACCAGACTCAACGTCTCTGGTCCCTTAATATAAAACCTTTTCAGGGCATATTCATGTTCTTACTCCCTCTGTTTATCTCAGAAAGCTCTGACTACCACAGTCTGCAGGGATAGTTGTCTTCGTCTGTATTTCACTCATTTGACATATAATTTATTGCCAATTTATTGGAAATATTGTTGTCTTCTCCTGCTAGACTTTTAACTCCCTTGAGTTCAGCCACTACAACTTAACTCTTTTCTTTAGTGTTCCAGCTTATGAGCACACACCCTGACTGAGTTGTATTTGGTTTATGATAGATGTTCAGTACTCTTTATAATTGGTCTGGTTGATTAGCTTCTTTCTACTTCTTACCAACATCAGTATAAGTTGAAATTCTTTAAGGTATGTTTTTGAGCTATACATCATACACATTTTTTGTACAGCTTTATTAAGGTATAATTGACATACAATAATCTGCATAAATTTAAATTGTACATACAGTTTGATAAGTTTTGACATGTATGTGCCCATGAAGTTCCCTCCAATTTTCTTTTTTTTAAAACAGTGGGGCTTGAACTCATGACCCTGAGATCAAGACCTGAGCCGAGATCCAAGAGTCAGAGACATTTAACCCACTGAGCTACCCAGGCGCCCCTCCCTCCAAATATTTTATTTTATTTTAAAGATTTTATTTATTTGAGAGAAAGAGCATGAGGGGGGAGGGGCAAGGAAAGAGGGGAAGCAGACTCCCCACTGAGTAGGGAACCCCACACAGGGCTTGATCCCAGGATCCCAGGATCATGATCTGAGCCGAAGGCAGACGCTTAACCGACTGAGCCACCCAGGCGCCCCAATACTCGTTTTTGTGTTTTTTGTGTTTTGGGTTTTTTTGTGTTTTGTATTTTTTTTAAAGATTTCATTTATTTATTTGACAGAGAGAGACAGTGAGAGAGGGAATACAAGCAGGGGGAGCTGGAGAGGGAGAAGCAGGCTTCCCGCCAAGCAGGGAGCCCGATACGGGGTTCGATCCCAGGACCCTGGGATCATGACCTGAGCCGAAGGCGGACACTTAACAACTGAGCCACCCAGGTGCCGCCCAGTACTCAGTTTTTAAACTGGGAAACCTTAATGTAGGATATGTGCTTTTTTTGTTTAAGTTCATCTGTACTTAGAAAGCACTAGCATCTAGTGCAGCTGCTTATAAACTTCTTAAAGAATAGAATCTTCAGAAATTCTGTGCAGAAATTTATACAGAAATTCAGTACCTAAAATAGAAAAAAAAAAAAGAAAGCCGTTAGAGTAGAAAAGGGACATTGTGTGTAGAGTGAGTGGGACCCTTCCCTCTCAGCCTCTGGCTCATGGCAAAGATAGGCCCTGAGGTCTCTCCTCTTGACTCTTAGGTTTCCACAGAATACATTTTGAAAATCATTGGTTTAGGTGGAAGCTATAGATGGGTAAATGAGAAGTCAAATAAATATTTTAGGAAAATAACTATGAATAAGAGAGACATGAAAGTCTCTTGTGTTGAAATCATCATTTTGCTCTTTCTAAGAGTCTTGTTTTCCTCCCTTATTCCGTTGGTCTACAGGACTATCCCACCTACACTATCCTTGGTCAGAGTCAGTACCAGACCTGCTACCCCAGCTCCAGCTTTGGAGGCACAGGCCAGACTAACAGTGATACTGAGAGTACCACATTAGCAGCAGCCACATACCAGACCGAGAAGCCTAGTGTCATGGTACCTGCATCTACGGCACAGAGACTTTCTTCGGGTAAGCACCGTAGCTCTGAAAACTTTGACTTAAGGGCACTTCATTCACCATGTAATAGTAAAGATCATTTTGTTCTGGTCTAAGTCAGTTACTGTGCTATTGGCTTTCCCTCTTGGGTGAGGAATATTTAAACATTGGAACCAGACTATATGATGAGTCATTGGCAGACCGAATGTAATACCTGATGCTGTGAACAGAAAAGTACCAAGAATGAAAAGACTGCGACACCCACCCCACCCTTTAGCTTTAATGTGCTCGTCACAGGGAACTTCAGAATAGTGGCACATTTTGTAAAAGTTGAAGGACTCCAGTTTTAGTCTGTGCATATTTTGGATGCCTGCTGAGGCCTCAGAGCAGTAGTTCTTAACTTTTTCTGTGTCATGGATCTCCAAGATCCTGAGGAAAGCTATGTCTTTCCCCCGACCCCAAGGAAATACATAAAATTTAACCTACAAGTTTAAACCTATACATTAAGGTTGGTTTGAAATGTATCGATGAGTTGTGAAGTTCAGGTTTAAAAAAAAAAAACCCTGGCATAAAGGCTTTATACACACATTCAGTAAATAAACATATGTATATGCTTTTTGTCTCTATCATTCAGGAAAATTTGGTGGTTGGCTGTTACATCATGTAACCGGAGGAAGGACTGTTTATTGTTAGTACTGATGCATTTTCAAAAACAGTGTTCTATCTCAAATCAGTTTTTTGTACACCTTGCCTTCATTAGTCTTCTAAGGAAATAGACATACAGATGGTCACTGCTTCAAACTTACATAACTTTGAAATAGTTACACATGTTGATACCTTAGTTTTGAATTCAGAGCTCTAAATATCTGTTCTTCATGACAATTTTAACTTTTTAATAAGAGGGAATTTCAAACCTAGAAGTTTTCAGAATAGTATAATGAACCTCCTATGTATATCGTCCATCTTCAACAATTAACTCGTATTTCAACTATACTTCATCTCGTTCTCTCGCCGAATTCCCGGCATCATATGTCTAAAAGATAAATACTTGCTAGCACAACCACAGTGCCATTATCCCCTCTGAAATAATTCAACAATAATTCCTTAATATCATAAAATACTAAAAGGTATTATTTCTAGTTTTCTCATAAATGTTAAAAGTTTTATTTTCCTTTTATATAGTTTATTGAAATTAGGATCAAAGTAAGGTCCGTACATTGGGATTGGTGGATATATATTTTGTCTCTTTTAAGTTGTAAATTCCCCTCTTTTTTTATTTTCTGATGTACTATATTTGTGAAGAAAGTGTTTATCTCATGCCATTTCCCAGTCTGAATTTTGCTGATTTTCTCTGTATCGGGTAGATCAACATTTCCTGCTGCCTTCTGTATTTCAATTTAAATTGGTAAATAGATCTAGAGTTGTGGTTTTCAACTAAAGGTGATTTTTGTGCCATGCCCTCTCCCGCATTCACCTAAGACATTTGGCAGTGTATGGAAACATTTTCGGTTGTCACAGCAGGTGGGGAGTGCTACTGGCATCTAGTGGATAGAGGCCAAGGATGCTGCTTAACCAAACATCCTATAATGCACATGACATCGACTCAACAAAAAATTATCTGGCCCAAAATGTCAATTGTGCCATGTTGAAAAACTCTGATGTAGAAACTTGACCAGGTACAGGTTCAGATTTTTTGGGGGTCTTTTTTGGCAAAACAACTTTATAGCTGTGTTCTTCCATTGAGAGGCAGGTATATAAATTCTGTTATAACTCTCTCTGTGATGTTAGGAGCTGTTGATGCTCGATATTGATGCCTAGGTCTGTATTCCTAAACTGATTAGGTAAAGTTTGATTTTCCAGCCTTTATCCCTGCAATATGATTCTTAAGGATAGAAAGCATGCTGACCCTCTTACAGCTCTAGTTCTTATAGCCTGTGACTACTGGCAATATATGTCTCGCTTTTCATTCCAGGAGACCCTTCTTCAAGTCCATCTTTGTCCCAAACTACACCAAATAAAGATGCTGATGACCAGTCCAGAAAAAACATGACTGGCAAGAACCGAGGCAAAAGGAAAGCTGATGCCAGCTCTTCCCAGGACAGTGAATTGGAAGTATGGGAAGGAGCTCATTTGAGTTACCTACTTTTTGTCTCATTTTTTAAGTTCATTGAACATACATATCTGAAACTCATGGAGAAACTGTAGTTCTTTGTTGAATGCCGCCCCCCCCCCAGCCCCGATTCCTGGGCAAGAGAAACGAAAATTGGCCAGGTGAAGAGAGAAATGTAAAAACACATTTCTCTGTGCCCATAACTCACCATATTACTTTCAGATGCTTTTCACCAAAGCATTGAAAAAGCTTTTCTGAATTTAGATAGCCAGGTAACGTTTTAAGAGAAAGAACAAACTGTTCTCTGTGTTCCAGAGGAGGACAGAAAGAACAGTTCCCTCATATTCAGAAAGCACAGGGTGTCACAAATAATGTCATAGTGTTCTCCATTTGAAAATCTAAAAGTAAAATGAGAAGATGAGAGTGCTTTATGTGAAGCAGTCACGACGAGATCTGGTAACTTATTAATGAGATTGGTAGGCACTTATTTTGTGGTTAAGCACTATAAGAATTTATTATGGGCATACATTTGGCTTCATTATTAAAAAGATTAGAAAATCATACAAAATGCTAATAATAGTGGAGTTTTTATACACTTTTGTTTTTGTACTCGATTTTTCTATAATATGAGCATTTAATGGGCAGGGGGATGCTGTATTTAAAAATGAGTTCATCGGTAGGCATTAAGACGTAAGTAAATTGAGGCTGTGTTTGGGGAGCTCTCTTTCCTTTTGTTCCTGACCAAGAAAAAAAGCAAAAAAGAAAAAATCTAACGTCCTTTTACATTTATTGGGAAAAACTGAGAACCCATTTAGTTTTTTAAATTGTGGTAAAATATACATAACATAAAATTTACCATTTTAACCAATTTTTAAGTGTGCAGTTCGGTGACATTAAGTACATTTACAGTGTTGTTTGTTACCACTATCTATTTCCAGAACTTTTTCATGATCCCAAACAAAAACTATACCGATTAAGCAATAACCCCCCATTCTCCCCTCCCACTAGCCCCTGGTAACCTCTATTCTACTTTCAGTTTCTAGGAATTTGCCTATTCTGAGTATCTCATATAAATGGAATGATACAATAGCAACCTTTTGTGTGAGGCTTCTTTCACTTAACGTAATGTTTTCAAGGTTCATCTATGTATAAGATCTTCATTTCTTTTTATGGCTGAATAATATTCCATTGTATGTATATATACCATGTTTTGTTTACCCATTCATTTGTTGATGGACATTAGTGGTTTTTTCACCTTTAAGTTATTGTGAATAATGCTGCTATGAACATTGCTATCCAGATATTTCTTTGAGTCTCTCTTTTCAGTTATTTTGGGTATAAACTGAGGAGTAGAATTGCTAGATTATATGGTAATTCTATGTTCAACTTCTTGAGGAAACAACAAAATGTTTTCCATAGTGGCTACATCACTTATACATTTCCACCAGCAATGCATGAGGGTTCTAATTTCTCCACGTCCTCACCAACACTTATTATTCCCCCCCTTTTTTTAAATAATAGCCATCCTAATGGATGTGAAATGGTTTTGATTTCCATTTCCTTAATGACTAGTAATGTTGAACATCTATTCATGTATCTTTTGGCCATCTGTATATTTTCTTTGGAGAAATAGCTGTTCAAATCCTATGCCCGGTTTTTAATTGGGTTTTTGGTATTTTGTTGTTGAGTTTTAGGAATTTTTTATATATTCTAGATACTACTCACTTATCAGATATATAATGCGCAAATATTTTCTCCCATTCCATGAGTTCTTTTTACTCTCTTGATAGTGTTCTTTGATGCACAAAAGTTTTACATTTTGTTGAAGTCCTGTTTTTCTTTTATTGCTTGTATTTTAGTGTTAAAAATACAAGGTTATAAAGATATTTACCAGTGTTTTCTTCTAAGAATTTTATTGTCGTAGCTCATAAATTTAGGTCTTTGACTCATATTGAATTAATTTTTTCTCATATTCAGTTAATTTTTTTAAGAGACTTTTTTTTTAAGATTTTATTTATTTCTTTGACAGAAAGAGACACAGCGAAAGAGGGAACACAAGCAGGGGGAGTGGGAGTGGGAGAGGGAGAAGCAGGCTTCCCACGGAGCAGGGAGCCCGATGCGGGGCTCGATCCCAGGACCCTGGGATCATGACCTGAGCCGAAGGTAGACACTTAATGACTGAGCCACCCAGGTGCCCCGAGTTAATTTTTGTATATGGTGTAAAGTAAGGGTCTAATTTCATTCTTTTGCACATGGACATCAATTTTCCCAGCACCTTTTGTTGGAAATATTTTCCTTTCCCCATTGAATGGTCTTAGCATCCTTGTCAAAAATTGACCATATTTGGGGGCATCTTGGTGGCTCAGTTGGTTAAGTGCCTGCCTTTGGCTTAGGTCATGATCCCAGGGTCCTGGGATTGGGGCCCTGAATCACATCAGGCTCCCTGCTCCACATTGGGCCCCCTGCTCAGCAGGGAGTCTGCTTCTCCCTCTCCCTCTACCCCTCCCCCCCACTTATGCTCTGTCTCTTGCTCTGCTCTCTCTCTCTCAAATAAATAGTCTTTTTTTTTTTTAATTGACCATATATGTAAGGGTTTATTTCTGAGTCATCTTGTCAATTTCATTGGTTTGTGTGTCTTTCCTTTTGGAGGTACCACATTGTATTGATTATTACTGTAGCCTTGTAATGAGTTTTGAAATCAGGAAATGTTAGTCTTCCAACTTCATTCTTTTTCAAGATTATTTTGGCCATTCAGGCCATGGAATATGAGATTCCATATGAATTTTAGGATGAGTTTTTCTATTTCTTTAAAAACTATTGGGATTTTGATAGGGATTGCATCGAATTTTAAGTCATCTGGGTAGTATTGTCACTTTAACATTGTTAAATCTTTCATCCATGAACATGGGCTGTCTTTCCATTTAGATCCGTCTAATTTCCTTCAGCTGTGTTTTTTAGTTTTCAGTATACAGGTGTTTCACCTCCTCAGTTAAATTTATTCTTTTTTTTTTTTGAGAGAGAGAGAGAGAGAGAGGGAGAGGCAGAGGGAGAGAGAGAATCTTAAGCAGGCTCCATGCCCAGCACAGAGCCTGATGTGGGGCTTGAGCTTACGACCCTGAGATCATGACCTTAGTCAAAATCAAGAGTCAGATGCTTAACCTACTGAGCCACCCAGGCACCCCTCAGTTAAATTTATGCTTAAGTATTTTATTATTTTTTAAGATTTTATTTATTTATTTGTCAGAGAGAGAGAAGACAAACAGGGGGAGCAGCAGGCAGAGGGAGAAGCAGGCTTCCCACTGAGCAAGGAGCCGGATGCGGGCCTCAATCCCAGGACCCTGAGATCATGACCTGAGCCAAAGGCAGACACTTAACCAACTGAGCCACCCAGGCATCCCAAGTTATTTTATTATTTTTGATGCTATTATAAATGGAATTGTTTTTAAATTTCTTTGAGGATTAGTCATTGCAAGTATATAGAAATACAGCTCATTGCTGAATTCATTTATTAGCTCTAACAAATTTTTTGTGGATTCTTTATGGAGTTTTCTATATATAAGATCGTGTCATTTGTGAACAGAGATAATTTTACTTTTTCCTTTCCAATTTGGGTACCTTTTTCCCCCCCAATTCTTGCCAAATTATTCTGGCTAGAATTTCTAGTACTTAACGTTGAATAGAAGTGGTAAAAACAGGCATACTTGTCCTATTCCTGATCTCCAGGATAAAGTGCTTCTGTTACTTATGTAAGCTTTCAGTCTTGCACCATTGAGTAAGATATTAATTCTGGGTTTTTCATATACAGTCTTTATCATGTGAGGAAATTCACTTCTACTCCTAGTTTAATGAGTATTTTTGTCATGAAAGTGTGTTGAATTTTGTCAGATGCTTCTCCTGCCTCAATTGAAATAAGCATTGGGTTTTTTTCCCTCCGTTTTCTTAAGGTAGCATATTATATTGATTAATTTTTGTATGTTGATCCATCCTTGCATTCTAAACAAGTCCTGCAGCGCCATGATGTACAGTGCTTTTAATATGCTGCTTGAATTTTGTTTGCTAGTATTTTTGTGGAGGATTTTTTTCATTGATGTTCTTAAGAGATATTGGTCTGCAGTTTTCTTGTAGTGTCTTTATCTGACATCAGTATCAGGGTAATGCTGGCTTCATAGAATGATTTAAGAAGTATTCCTTCATCTTCAACTTTTTGGAAGAGTTAAGGAAGGATTGGTGTTAATTCTTCTTTAAATGTTTGGTAGAATTTAACAGTGAAACCATCTGGTCCTGGGCTTTTTTCTTTCTTGGTATCTTTTTGATTACTGATTTCAACCTCTGTTAAAGGTCTATCCAGATTTTCCATTTCTTCTTGAGTCAGTTTTGGCATTTTGTGTATTTCTAGGAATTTGTCTATGTCCATATAGGTTATTTGTTAGTATACAGCTATTCATGGTATTGTCTTACCATTCTTTTTATTTCTGTAAAATTGATACCAACATTCCCACTTTCATTTCTGATTTTACTAATTTGAGTCTTCTTTTTTTTCTTAGTTAATCTAACTAAAGGTTGTCAATTTTGTAGATCTTTTCAAAGAACCAACTTTTGGTTTCATTGATTTTTCTCTATTATTTTTCTACTCTCTGATTTATTTATCTCCATTATAACTTTTAGTCTTCCATTCCTTCTGCTGGCTCTTTCCAGTTCCTCAAATTGTACAGTTATGTTATTGATTGAGATCTTCTTTTTTAAGGCATGCATTTTACAGCTATAAATTCCCCTCTTTGTACTGCTTTCACTGCAGCCTATAAATTTTGGTATGTTGTGTTTTGTTTTCATTCATCTCAAGGTATTCCCTAATTTCACTTGGGATTTTTTCTTTGATCTACTGCTTGTTGAAAATTGTGTTGTTTAATTTTCACATATTTGTGAATTTTTAAGTTTTTTTTCTGTTACGTATTTCTTGTTCCATTCCATTATATTTAGAAAAGATGCTCACTCATTTTTTTTTTCTGTTTTCCTTCCTCAGCGGGTATTTCTGTGGGACTTGGATGAAACCATCATCATCTTTCACTCTCTTCTTACTGGATCCTATGCTCAAAAATATGGAAAGGTAATTTGAGTCTTTCTTCCTCTCTTGTAACTGCCCTCCTCCTGACTCACTCTCTCTGCTACCTCCATCTTACCCTGTTGGCTTTTCACTTGCCATGTACAACTTCACCGGATGACTTGTACAGCAGACTGCATGTCAGGCAGTGTTGATAAAGCTGGAGACAGACCTAGGACCAGTGCTGTAAGCTGAAGTTGTTCAAGGGTTCTATTTTATAAAGACTAAATATGGGAATGAAGCTCAAAACAGTGGAGTCTCAGGATTATATATTCCAAAGACTGATGTGTTAACCTTAAGTCACTTTTAACAGCCCAAACTGAGCATTTTATTTAGCTGAGTATATACCAGATATGTAAATTTTTAAATATATATAAAGTCTAAAATATTTTTCTTACGTAGATTACATACCTCCTTACACTAAATATACCAAGCAGAATTTAAACTTATTTAGTCATCAATATAAACACCAGGGTTTTGGGGGGGGGGTTGTTTGTTTAAGATTGATTTATTTGAGAGAGAGAGAGTGAGAGAGCACACATGCATGGAGTGGGGGCAAAGGGAGAGGGAGAGAAAATCCCAAGCAGACTCCACACCAAGAGTTGGACATTTAAACCAACTGCACCATCCAGGCGCCCCTAAACATCAGCTTTGATAGAGGGATAAGCTATATGTTTCTATACCAGATTATCTCCAGGCTTCTATTTTTCAGTTTCTGTGAATAAATTTTATAAAAATATCTACGTCCTTTGCTTTCTTACTATTCCCATTTATTTCTTACTGTATTAATGTTTCTGTTAGAAGTACTTTCCACAGGCTTTTAGTGTCTAGGCTGGTAAGCTGACATAAGCTTGTACACTGTATAAGCTGATTATAAAAGTGTATAAAATAAGAGCATACATCCTCCAAGTGAAGACCTGATGGTTCACTTTAAAGCTAGATGCATTGGTTTTCCTACAAATATTTTGGCTCTTCAGCCTTCTTCACTTATTTCCTGGCTGTTGAGATTGTCAGATAACTGACTTCTGGTGTCATGCTGTGTGTGTGTGTGTGTGTGTGTGTCTGTGTGTCTGTGTGTGTGTGCGCGTGCGCGCACGCACATGGTGGGGAGGCTGAAGGGAGATAATGGGTATCACAATAGTAATATTTTAGCAATAGCATTTCTCACAAAACAGAATTTCCGCTCAAATTGGTTTTTTTTTTAAGTGTGTTTAGTTTTCTAAAAACTAAGTCCTGAAATTTTTAACTTTGCACAATCCCAGATTCTTCTAACTGAATGAAATTGCATAAGTAACAGTTAGAAGCACTTTTGCAGGCCTCTGTTGTTTTGGCCTTGACCCAGAATAACTCCAAAATATTTATAAGATTGGAACCAGTGCTGTTAGTACCAAATTAAACAGATTTTTCTCTTATTGTCTTCTAGGATCCAACAGTAGTGATTGGCTCAGGTTTAACAATGGAAGAGATGATTTTTGAAGTGGCTGATACACATCTATTTTTCAATGACTTAGAGGTAAGCATTTGAAATTGTTTCTGTGCTTCAGTGAAACATTTTGTTTGTTCAGTAACTATTTATTTGTCTAGCCTATGCTTATTGTATTTAGAGGAAGTGTGGTGAGAAGGGGTGGTTGTGGAGAGGCCAGCTGGCCACTTAGACTTACGTAGTCTTATAAGAACAGTGCCTTAGCTAGGTCACCGGTCTTGGTACTGGCCCTCAATTTTATTGGTTCAAAATTTTTATTTTTGTTAGCCTATTTGGAAGTGATCTAGCTCTAGGGGAAATGCCAGCCCTTCAGACAAAACAGTGAAGTGTAAACCAACATTCCTATTTGTTCATCTGTCTTAAATAACATACAATAATGTGGGTTTGACTCTTTTACTCTTAATTATATTTTGACTATTTTTCGATTTTACCTTCTTAAAATATAATCTCTTGATTTGTCAGATCTGTAAATGGCTGCTCTAACTCATTATAACTTATACATGCTTATTATCCATGTATAGGTTAACCTTGATGTCCAGAATCATTGTGTAGTTAGATGCAAGGAAAACCAGGAGCACTGAGAGCTTCTTGGTGAATTTTTTGGCTTTGACATTTGAGTTCACCTTTGAGGTGACCATGGTGTAGTGGCAAGAGCACAAGACTGGGAAGTCAGAAGACCAGAGTGTGAGTTCCAGGTTAGGAAAGTTACCTCACCATTTGGGGCCTCAGTTAAGCAGTTATCCTACACAAGAAACTAGTAACAGTTCTGTCTGAGGAAGGGGATATGTTGCTGGGACCCAGAGGTGGGAAGGAGCAGACTTGTCACTTCATGCCCTTTTGAGTTCCAAACTGTGTACTACTTATATAACCTAGTTTTTAAAAACAGTGAAAATTGTAAGTTAAAAAATAAAATAGTGGGGCACCTGGCTGGCTCAGTCGGAAGAGCATGCGACTCTTGATCTCAGGGTTGTGAGTTCCAGCCCCACGTGGGGTGTAAAGATTACTTAAAATAAATAAAATTAATTAAAAATAAGATAGCATTTTATAAACACAAAGTAATCCTATTTCTTTTTAAAGATAGTCTAGTTCTTCTCAATGGACAGTTCTTCAACAAATTGAATTACCCAGGTCTCTAAACTCCAGTACCTTTGTCTAACCTCCACAATGCTTTATTCTTCCTCAACTTCACGTGTTGATACGTTAGGACATCATAGTTTTTACTCAGCAAACATTTATTGAAAACCTACTTTGTGCCAATAATTATTGCCAAATTGTATTTGTAATGATTTTCTAGACATAGACCTCACTCAGGACTGAAAGTTCTGTGAAGAATTTGACCTGAATATGTTCCTGCCCCCCAGGTCAGTGGTTCTCAACTTTAGGGGGCATAAGAATCACCTGGGGAGCTTGTTAAAAATGAAGATTCTAGGACTTCACACCCAGAAATTCTGATTCAAGTAGGTCTGGGGTGGACCCAAGAATATGCATTTTTAAAAAACTTGCCCAGGGGATTCTGATGTAGGCGGACATCACAACATTGCTTTAGGTGGTGTCAGAGGAATGAATCTCTCAGATTTAGGTAGTGGGTGGCATTTAGTTCATAGTAGCACGGGCTTGGTGGAAAGAACCTTGGATTCAAATTGGAAGGCCCAGGCACTTTCTCGTTTCTTTCTATCACTCACTAGTTGTGTGGCCGTGGGTCATTCATTTCACCTCACTTTTAGAACATGAAGAGATTAACTTAGGTGACCACTTCTAATTCCTAAGTTTGGACTTACAGATTTCTGTTTCAGTCATTCTCTGTTTTGATACCATACCCTACCAGCATCTGTTTCATCTGCAAAAACGTATTGGGTACATGCTACGTAAAAGCACATGCTACGTAAGGACTAGACTGGAGGGGTACAAGGGAGCTGTAGGATACAGGTTGTGCCACAAAGGGCTGCAGTTTATAACAGAACTTAACAGTCTAGCGTAGGACGTAGACATCCCTGACAGTGTAAGGGAGTTTGTGTTTATACCCATGAGCTGTTGTGTTATACCCATGACTACTGAGAGAAGAGTATACCTGAGGGTCAGGCTGGGTAAGGAAGATTTCATGAGACCGTGGGACATGAATTAGGCCTTAAAAGAAGTTGGACAGCAGGGGGGTGAGAGTGATCCTCCACACATAGGAGACTGTAAGGATTTTCATCATCTGCCATTATTTTTGGTCTTTTTACAATATGTCATGGTGGTGGTAGCACTTCTACTCCCTGGACTGAAATAGTGTGTGGTTTTGTTTTTTAACAGGAGTGTGACCAGGTGCACGTGGAAGATGTGGCTTCTGATGACAATGGCCAGGACTTGAGGTGATAGAAACAGTGATGTCTTAAACATCAGTATACCTGTTAGGCATGAGATACTGTCTAGGTTCAGAGGAAAACAAAGACGAGTAAAAGATCCCACAGTCTGTTAGCGGAGACCGAGACAAACAGAGGTAATGATGGACTGCAGTGTACAGAGGTGACAGTAGAGAATGTGACAGAGCACAGAAAAGAAAGTAACTCTGGTGGCTGTGGTTGCCAGCATTGGAGCGGCCTTCTCAGTGCAATAGAATTTGAGTATGGCCTTCAAGAGTGGGTGGCAATGACCGGATGAGGAAAAAGCATTTCAAAGTAAAGGGTACACCGGTTTCTCTTTGACCAGATTTTCAGTCAGGAGTTTGTTAGTTTTAGATACAAATAAGCATCAGGAATTTTACGAGGGAAACTAATTGTGGCGGTCTGTTGGTGTCAGGAATGACCCTATTGGAGACAACCTTAAACCTTGTATCAGTGAACGCTACACTAAGGGGATCTCGGTGGCAAATGTTTGCTCCATCTCCTCATTTCTCTCTTGGCTGCTGTCTTCTCTCCCAGTAGTCTTAGTGAATAATCCAAAAATTTATCTAGCTTCTATTTAAGAACTTTCAGAAAAAAAGACTGTCACATTTTTTTCATGTTAATTTGTTTTCGTGTTTGTCCCTTTCATAGGTTCTTCCCTGTGTCTACCCTAAAATTGTTTCATCCATGAATTCTCAAACATAGAGCAGAACTGGACGTATCACTCAGGAAGGACCTAATCCTGTAGTACTGAGAAAGATTACGAGGTCCCACGTGAGGATCAGCATCCAGTCGTGCATGTTGCTTGCACAGCCATGGAGCACACCATTCTAATGAGATTTTACTGGACCTTTTAGGAAAGTGCCTGGTCCAAAGCAGTTTATGATCTACCCTGAAGCCTAGTGTTTTTTTTCCTCTTATACATGAGGCCAACCAGTAATTACCTAAATGTCTTGACAGCTTTATTTTCTTAAAAATAGAATCTCACACTTACTGAACTCAGTTTTGATTTTTGATTGAACCAAGTTGTCTCTAATTCTGTCAGTCACTTTTTTATATCTTAGGAAGTGTTCAATCTCTCCCAGCCTGTTTAACTGTATTACTTATTTCTATGGCTGTGTAACAAATTACCCCAAAACTTAGTAGCTTAAAGCAATAAACATTTATCATCTCATAATTTCTATAGGACAGGAACTTGAAAGTGACTTAGCAAGGTAGTTTTGAATCAGGGTCTCTGAGATTAAAATCAAGATACTGGCTGGAGCTTAAATCATCTGAAGCCTTGATGGGAGCTGGAGGACCTGCTTGCAGCCTCTCACATGTGGCTGATCAGTTCCTCACTATATATGCCTCTCCATGGGGCAGTTCGAGTGTTCTCGTGTGACAGCTGACTTCTTTCAGAGCAAATGCTCCGAGAGAGCAAGAGAAGCCTGTCTCTGCGGTCTGACACCATCTCTTCTTCCACATCCTGTTTACATTTAAATGCAATCCATACCCATAGGGAGAAGAATTAGAAGAGGGGAGTATTAAAGAATTTGTGGACATTTTATGACCCATGGACTTATGACCCATGAACTTAATAAACCAGCTAACATATCTCTGAAGAACATCTCCATTATACCTTGCAATTATTAATATTTGGGGTTATTTCCTTCCATTATTTCTTCACATGTTTCTACACTTTGCATAGTTGCCATCGTGTGTGTGTGTGTGTGTACACAAAAATGTTATATTCTGGAGTTTTTTTTCATTATAAGATATTCTCTCATTAATGAAAAGATGCTCTATTCCCAAGACAACCTCTAGGGGATGCTGGTGCTTGAATGGGCTCTACCTCTCTTTCCTTTCTCTCCCTCCTTTCTTTGATGGCAGTAATAGGGGCGAGGTAGACAACTAATGGAAGATAGATTCTGACACACAGAGATTAAAGGAGAAGTTTCTCAAAGCCTTTAGACTTGATGTCAGATGCCAGGAATAGGACAGAGAATCCCAGATGGGATTCAGCACAAAAGTCCATACAGTATAGATATTAATTTTCATCATCCTCTCTCTCTGCAGCAACTACAGTTTCTCAACAGATGGTTTCAGTGGGTCAGGAGGCGGTGGCAGCCATGGTTCCTCTGTGGGTGTCCAGGGAGGTGTGGACTGGATGAGAAAGCTGGCTTTCCGCTACCGAAAAGTGAGAGAAATCTATGATAAGCATAAAAGCAACGTGGGTGGTAAGTGTGGCATACAGCCAGTCTGATATTCTGTTTCCCTCTTATTTCCTATGTTCTTTTCCAGGGATTCCTTAGAACTCCCTGGCAACTGCTTAGGAATTAGGGCCACAATAACATTTTAACTTTGTATAAAAAAACAGGTTTGATTGAAACTCTTTGAGGAGGAAGCTCTGCATCTCTCATGGACTTCTCTTAGCATAACTTTGCAGAGTTCTCTTGTTCTTTTTAGACAAATACCTTTTTAAAGAAATGTGTTCCAAAGATTATGTTTGATGACATATGTTTTATTCTGGAGTCACAACTATTGTCAATACTAGTTAATGGGTTGCCATAATTTTTGACTGATTTATGTAACTATCAGAACAAGTCAGGTAGAACTAGTGACTAGATTTATAATGGGTGGAAACGTTGGTCCAGAATTAAAGGTTGGCAGTAGCCAGGTACTGGACCTTGGAAATTCTGCCCAGAAATATCTGAAATATCAGGTGTCACTATGCCTAAAATTCTGTTATTTAAAATTAATAAATTAAGCATAGATTGTTCAAATTAGAAGAGACTTTAGAAATCTAATCTGAATCCCTCATTTTGCATTTGAGAAAGCTCGTTTATCATGAGGGTGCTGAGGACAGCTTACCCACGGTCACAGCTAGAATCCAGTCCCCTAACTCTTGGTCCAGTGTACTTTACATGCATGCAGGACACTTTTTTTTAAAGTATGAAAGATGTTTTTATTTTTATTTATTTATTTATTTTTAAAGTAAGCCCTGTGCCCAGTATGGGGCTTGAACTCACGAGCCCGAGATCAAGAGTTGCATGCTTACTGACTGAGACAGCCAAGCGCCCTGATGCAGTTCCTTTTTTAGTGATGTATCCTTACGAGAAAAAAACTTTTAAGCTGTGAAGCATTACCCTCAAAGATCTAATACAAAATATTGCATGAAGTTTCAGGGATTTGATAGACTGTCTAGAGGTATATTATCCCAGATCAAGAAACAACTCCTGCCACACCATGCTGCCTTACATTGTGGTGCAGAAAGTAAAAATAGGGCTTTAAGATAATTTGGTTCATTTCTGTTAGAGCCCCCAGTACCAGATAAAAAGCACAGGCATCTGGGCTTTGGGAATTTAATTTGCTTTTTTTAGATTCCCCTTTTTATGGCCTATTTTTTTCTCATGACTCAGAGCCAGTACTTTATTTTGGCAACTCCCATCTTTTTGCTTTTACTGTCTCCACACATAAGCCTTTCTTTTGTTAGTTTTCATATACAACCTAAGTATCTGATCCTTTTTCTGTTAGTTGAGGGCCAGGACCTGGCTTCCTGAAGAAAGTGATATAACCCTCTGTGAGAATCCCCTGAGCCTACTCTGGGGAACATATTAAAAGTAAGGTCCGGCTGTATTTTGTAAAATAGGAATTAACAGAAGTGCCACATCATATTATTAATTAAGTATGTGACATGTGGACTTATGTGTATGCCACACATGACATATAGGTACTGGTTTTGTTGTTGTCTTATCAGAGACCTTGAGAGTCATGTATTTCTAGGCTTGCATTGTGAAACCGACAATCTGAAAACAAATTATATACCAGTCTCCTCACAGAAATGCCTTCTGTTTTTGTGAAATACTTGTAATAGAAGATAGGATTTCTCTTTTACCTTCACTACAGAAAATACAGGGCCAGATTTATTATTTGAATATTATAATTCAAACGTCTGATAACATGCTCCCATCCGATGAATTCTGTTTTGTTCCATGCTTGTCTGATCTTGAGCAGTGTTTCAGTCTCCTCTTAGTTGGAGTTGTTTCAGAAGCAAGTACAGTACAAATAAATGATGTTCATGAAGTTGGTCATTCAACCTGGAATCTCAGGTCGATGTGTTATGAACGGGTGAGAGCACGGTCACCATGGGAGCAGGGTGTGGCAGAGCAAAGACTTGGGAAGCCAGAAGCCACTAACTGCTGTGTGATCTTAGGCAGCCCCCTTTCCTCCCTGGGCTTTGGTTTCTTTAGAGAGATTGGAAATGCTGCAGACTCTTCCCGCTCTAACCCTCATTTCTCCCCCTTTGATTCTTGATGTCACATCTACAGCAGCGCTGCTCAGAGTGTGGTCCACCAGTCTGCCAGTCATGTTACTGGCTGGTGATGAAAGAGTAAGCTTTGGCAGAATCTGATCACAGTGTTTCTTTCAGCTGATTTTGTGCTGGTGGTTGTGGCCCCCCTAGCAAAACATTCTGATGAAGAAAGTCAAAAAGGCATTTTAATTAAGTAGACTGTTCCAGGGTTTTACCAAAAAGAGAAACCTGTTAGCTCAATAGAATATTTCAGTGACTCACACTATTTCTAAATTGAATTTAGAAGTTGCTTCCTTAGTGTCAGCAAGGATATATTGTCAAATGATAAATGTGTCTGCTTTTATTCCCAAAGGCCTACTCAGTCCCCAGAGAAAGGAAGCACTGCAGAGACTAAGAGCAGAAATTGAAGTTTTAACAGATTCCTGGTTAGGAACTGCATTAAAGTCCTTACTTCTCATCCAGTCCAGGTATGGGAATGGTACTTTTAGGTCTCATCGTCTCCTATATGCACTCAGTCCTACCCCGGTCCAGGATAGGCCACTCCCTGACACCGGTTTGGGATAGGGGTGAGAGGAGTTGAAAGGATGCAAGCAAACATTTAGGTTTGGTGGGAGGCGAGGTCATTCTATGCTGACAGCACGTGTTCGAATTTTCAGAGAATATTTATATATGAAAGCCTTTTTATTTCCCCTTATTTTTCGCTCACAGAATTAAAGCTTAGTGACCCATAATATCCAGCCCAGGAATGGGCCTGGTCACATCAGAGAATCCCTGTAGGAGACACATCGCATACCCTAAGTACAGGAAGCTCTAAAGAAATGTATCAAAGCCTACTCAGGAAGGCAGGATTCAGAAGAAAAGGAAAAATTAAGTAGTTTAAGGAGATTTCAGCTTTTGAAGCTTAGAATGGGAAATAAATATAGTCAAATACAGTCTACACCAGTACCCTGTTCCTCCCTCCCTCAAAGCAGGAATTCCAGATCTACAACCTAGTAGAGCAAACAGTAAAACTGACACCAAGGGGTAGATATCCGTGAAGGTAAAGGACATGTGAAATTAAGGTGTATTCTGGAATCTGTGTTGCTATTGTGTGAGAGGCAGAGAGGACTTAAATCATATCTTACTTAAGAGCTGAGTTGCATTCAGATGAAATAGCACTGTGAAAGTCTTCATTGCTGGTTTTCTAGAGTGTGCTATCAGGGACATGGGTTGGTGGTTTATTTGCTAGCAAATGCAGTGAGCTAGAATGGTCATAAGGGAAATGGGGCAAGAATCAAGTTGCTGCTCTGTGCCCACTATATATATATATATATATATAAATATAATCTCTGTCCTTTAATATGGGAAATAAATAAATCTGAGGTAATTAGAGCAACAGCTGAGCATGGCACTGAACAAAAATCAGGCCCTTTGAGGTTAGTTTTTAATAATTAGATTCTAAAGAGAAGACGCATTTGAATTCTTGCTCTCAGGTTTGTTTAGTTTCAGCTTTTCCTTTTCTTTTTATTTTTTCTCCCTTCTAGAAAGAATTGTGTGAATGTTCTGATCACTACAACTCAGCTGGTTCCAGCTCTGGCCAAGGTTCTCCTTTACGGGCTAGGAGAAATATTTCCTATTGAAAACATCTATAGTGCTACCAAAATTGGTATGGTTTCTATTCTCTTTCTTGTCACTTGCCTTACATAATACTTCATAATTATGATGTGCTTAATTATTTACCAATCCCATAATTAGACACTTTATGTATATCTCTAATCCTCACAGCAGTCTTTTCCTAGTATTAGTGATGGGCCAGTTCAGGCTTAACAGTTGTGTAGCTTCCTCAAGGCTCCACGGCTAGTAAGTTACATAAACCGGATTCAAATCCAGGTTTGTAGGACTTAAAGTTTATCATGCTCTTTCCTTTTGTAATAATTGAAAGAACGTAATATATAGCTTGGAACTCTACTTTTGCCTCATTCCAGATTTATTTTTCTTTTCCACAGAGACAGTGGTGCAGTATAGTCTTATAGAAAAAGCACTAAATTAAAAATCAAAGACTAAGCTATATACTTAAAACTGGTTAAATCCCTCACACCCATTCAGATGGCTACTGTCAAAAAAAGAAAAATAGGGGCGCCTGGGTGGCTCAGTCAGTTAAGCGGCTGCCTTCAGTTCAGGTCGTGATGCCGGGGTCCTGGGATGGAGCCCCACATCGGGCTCCCTGCACAGTGGGAAGCCTGCTTCTCCCTCTCCCTCTGCCCCTGCTTGTGTTCCCTCTCTCGCTGTCTCTGTCAAATAAATAAATAAAATATTAAAAAAAAAAATAGTTGGGGTACCTGGCTGACTCAGTCAGTGGAGCGTGCAACTCTCCATGTTGATGGGACATAGTTCAAGCCCCACGTTGGGCGTAGAGTTTACTTAAAAATAAAAAAAGAAAAAGAATAACAAGTGTTGACAAGGGTGTGAATAAATTAGAGCCCTTCTGCACTGTTGGTGGGAATATAACATGGTAGGACTACTATGGAAAACAGTATGGTGGTTCCTCAAAAAATTTAAAAAAGAACTATTATATGATCAGTAATCCCACTTCTGGGTGTATATCCAAAAGGATTGAAAGCAGGATCTCCAAAAAATATCTGCACACCCATGTTCATGGTAGCGTTATTCACAATCGCCAAGAGGTGGAAGCAACCCAGACGTCCATCAAATGAATGGATACACAGGAGACGGTATATTCATACATACAGTGGGCGATCATTGTGCCTAAAAGGGAAGAAAATCTTGTCATATACTACCACGTGTGTCAGCCTTGAAGATGTTATGCTAATGAAGTCAGCCAGTCACAAAAAGGCAAATACTGTGTGTTTCTTAGTCAAACTCAGAAACAGACAATAGGATGGTGATTAACAAAGACTTGGAGGAAAAGGGAAATAGGGAATTGTTTAATGGGTATAGAATTTCAGCTTTGCACCATGAAAAGTTCTGGAGCAACAATGTGAGTATACTTAACACTGCTGAAATGTACATTTAAAAATGGTTAAGATGGCAGATTTTATGGTTTTTAGTGCAATTTTTTGAAAAGGAAAAAACAAACAAACAGTAATAAGGACTAGAATTCAGGGCGCCCGGGTGGCTCAGTCGGTTAAGCGTCTGCCTTCAGCTCAGGCCCTGATCCCAGGGTGCTGGGATGGAGCCCCGCATGGAGCCCCGCATGGGGCCTGCTGCTCCCTCTCCCTCTGCCCCTCCCCCTGCTTGTGCTCTCTCTTGCCCTCTCTCTCTCTCATGAATAAATAAAATCTTTAAAAAGGAAAAAAAGGACTAGAATTCAAGTCCTGTCTCCCCCACTTACTAGTTCTCACTTTAGGCAAATTATCTCTTGAGCCCCCCATTTTCTCATATAAAATGAGAAACTTCCAGAGAGATTGTGAAACTCAAATGGGACTGTGTAAATGAAGGTACTCTTTAACCCCTAAAAATGTATTCAGTACCAAGTATGGGAAACAGTAGATACTCGATAAATATTTGCTGAAATAATTAATTAATTGGCACCAGATTTATACAAAACCAGCTTGTCCCACTAAGATGGCAGCAAGTGTGTCACTGTGCTTCTTGTGTGCTGAACATGGTCAGAAAAAGAGGAATATGACAGCCCTCTCCTCACCTGTCCAGACTCTTACAGTTCCTGTTTCACTGTTATACCAAGCAAAGGAGAGGGTCCTACAGTTTGAAGATGAACTGTGGTTATTCATTATTTTTTTAATAATCTACTACATGCCTGTTGATCAGCTTTCTCCATAAAAAGCAGGTCTAATTATATATATCCACACACACATACACACACCCCAGGACGTGTGGAGGTCATAAGCCCACCGGGTCCTGTTGACATTTATTTTTTTTCATTCATTCACCAAATATTTATTGGTCACCTTTATGTGCAAGGCATTTTTCTAGGTCCTGGGTATACAGCAGTGATCAAAAAAATCCTTGCCTCTAGTGGGAAGAAACAGTAAACAAGTAAGTTGAGGAAAACAAACCACCTATGTCAAATGGTGGTAAGTGCTATAGCTAAAAATCAATTAGGAAAAGAAGGCCATGTTTCAAATAGGGTAGTTAGGGAAGACCTCAAGGCAAAGCTACCTTTTTCTTTTCTTTTCTTTCTTTCTCTTTCTTTCTCTTTCTTTCTTTCTTTCTTTTCTTTCTTTTCTTTCTTCTTTTTCTTTCGTTAACCTTCTAAGCAAGACCTAACAGGTGAAGGAGTTAGCCATTAGCGTTTACTTGGAGAAAGAGCATGCCAACGAGAGGGAACAGCCAGTGGAAGAGGTTGGAGGCATGTGCAGGGAGGAGCAGGGGAGGAAGAATGTTGGCAAGTAAAGTCAAAAGAGATCAAAGGAGAGGGTGGGGAGATCTTGCAGGGCCTTGTAGATTATTTTAAAGATTTTAGCTTTTATTCCAATGAAATGCTGTCTTAAGGTTTTGAGCAGAAGACTGACAAGATCTGACTTACCCATTAAATGCATCAGGTTGGGGGCGCCTGGGTGGCTCAGTCGTTAAGCATCTGTCTTCGGCTCAGGTCATGATCCCAGGGTCCTGGGATCGAGCCCCGCATCGGGCTCCCTGTTCAGCGGGAAGCCTACTTCTGCCCCTCCCATTCCCCCTGCTCATGTTCCCTCTCTCGCTATGTCTCTCTCTGTCAAATAAATAAATAAAATATTTTAAAAGAATAAATAAATGCATCAGGCTGGCTGCTCTGTAGGATCTTGAGGAGGGTAGCTGGGAGTCAAATTAGGAGGTTATTGTAACAATCCAGCATGAGATCCTGGGTGGCTTGAACCAAGGTAGTAGCAATAGAGATGGGGAAGTAGTCATGTATGATGATAGATATGTCTATGATACATATAGGATATATTATGAAGGCATTATTTTGACAGGCTTTGCTAGTAATTTGGATATGGGGTGTGAAAGAAAAAGAAGTTAAGGAGGTGTCCCAGGATTTTGGCCTAAGCAGCTGAAAGGATGAAGATGCCATTTACTGAGATGGAGAAGGCTGTGGTAAGAAAGATTAAAGGTCTAGTTTTAGATGCTAGGTTTGAAATAATTACTAGACGTCCAAGCAGAGATGTCAGGTAGGCAGTTGGATATCTGAGTCTGGAAGTCAAGGGAGAGGTACTGGCTGGAGTTAAATAATTAGGAGTTCTTCGTGTACGTGTGGTTATTAAAAATGACTGCATAAGTCATTGGAATGAACGCAGACAGAAGAATAGAGGTCTGTGAACTAAGTCCTGAGTCCCTCTAATATTTAAATGTTTGGATCTTAAGGTGGAACCAGCAGAAGTTTCAGAAGGAGAGGTATGTGTGAGGTAGGAAGAAAACTGGGAGAATGGTGTCTTAGAAGAAGACAAAGGGAGTGTTCGATTCAATCAGATGTTGCTGATGGGTCAAATAAGGTTGCTACATGGAGGCCATTAATAAACTTGATGTGCAGTTTGAACAAAATGATGGGGGTGATATCTAATTGGAATGGGTTTAAGAGAGAATGGAAAGAGAAGAGCTGGAGAAGGCAACCATATGACAACACTTTAGATCAATTGTAAAGAAGAACAAAGAAATGAGGTAGTAACTGGAGGGTTATATGGGCTCAAGAGAATTTTTGAGCGTAAGAGAAATTCTATCAAGTTTATATGCAGGTGGTAAGGATTCACTAGATGAGGAAGAACAATAGTGGTGCCTCCCGTGTGTCTGACATTGACAAGGCGCTAGGAATATAGCAGGGACAAAGTCCTCTGTTCTCATGGAAATTACCGTCACTCACTGGTATGAGGGTAACTGGGTTATCCATATGAGGAGAAAAGCAGAATTGTATTCCTTCTTTTTGCTATTTGCAGAAATAAGTTCCAGGTGGATAAAATAAAACTTAACATGATAAGCAAAACTTTAATTTTTAGAAGAAAATACAGAAGAGTATCTGTATGGCCTTAAGGTAGAAGGGGATCTTATTTAAAAGGCCCAAAATACAGTTTTGAAAAACAACAAAAAAATGATCATTTTAATTGGATGAAGCTTTATATCGAGTGAAAATATAACGTGACAAAACTAGACTGGGAGAAGATATTTGCAGTTCTTTTGCTTGTTAATTCATATACAAAATCTGTAAAGAACTGTATATTATTAAGCAGCAAACAACATATTAGAAAAGTAGGCAGAAACCTTGGAACAGTCAGTTTGCAGAAGAGGAAACTCAGGTCACCAGTAAGCATATGGAAAGTTCCTTAACCTCAGCAATTAAGGATATGCAGATTAAAGTGTGTTGCATTTCCTATTTATCAGATTGACAGAAATTTAAGTCTGACAGTGCCAAAGTTTGTCAAGGAAATGGGAACACTTACTCTGCAAATGGAGATAGCCCTTTTTTAAGATTTTATTTTTAAGTAATCTCTACTTCCAACGCGGGGCTCAAACCCACAACCCCAAGATCAAGAGTTGCATACTTGGGGCGCCTGGGTGGCTCAGTCATTAAGTGGCTGCCTTCGGCTCCTGTCATGATCCTGGGGTCCTGGAATCGAGCCCCACATCGTGCTCCCTGCTCTGCGGGAAGCCTGCTTCTCCCCTCCCACTCCCCCTGCTTGTGTTCTCGCTGTGTCTCTCTCTATGTCAAATAAATAAAATCTTAAAAAAAAAAAAAAGTTGCATGCTCTGCTAACTGACCCAGCCATGCACCCCTGGATATAGCCCTTTTTGGAGAGTAGTTTGTCAATGTCTAGTAGTTTGAGATGTGCATAACCCTATGATCAAGCAACTCCACTTTTAGATAAATACACTTTAGTTCAGGGGTCTGCAGACTATAACTGACTTGCCAGATTCTGCCCACTGCCTGTTTTTGTAAAATTTTATTGAAGCATAGCCATGTCAAATCATTTCCATAGCTACTTTCACACTGTAGTTAGCAGCGTCCAGTAGTTGCAACAGAGATCATAGAAGCCACAAAGCCTGGAATATTTACTACCTGACTCTTTACACAGAAAGTTGGCCCACCCCTGCCCTTGAGTAGTTCTCAGGTGCACAAGGAGAGATGTGTGAGGATTTTTTTGATGCCGCATTGTTCATAATAGAATGTAATTGGAAATAGCCTCTCTGTAAACCTGTCCATGAAAAGAAAATTGATAGATGTATCCAAACAATGGAATGCTATATGGCAGTTAAAAGTGAATGAACTAAAACTACATAGATCCATAAGGATTAATATGAAAAACAATGTTCAACACAAAAAACACAGGGCAGATAGATATGTATAGTGTGTATCATTTATCTAAAGGCCAAAAATGTTCACAACCATATACCATATATTGTTTATGGATATATACTCACAGAGAGAAAGGAAGGGTCAACAGGTAGGGGTACACAGGAAATCAAATAAATCTGTGGTATCTCATTCTTATTTTTTTTATCTAAAACAACTATAAAATATTACAGTTTGACAAAAGTGGGTTGGCAGTAGGTATACAGGAATTTATTTTTATTCTCCTTTTTCTGTATTTTGAATTACTTTCATTTACAAGGGATTGGGGGAACCCACCCCTCTTCATGTTTTGCTCTCGCTGCCACTGCTTCACTATGCATTTCATAACCGAGAGCACGCACTAAGCCTTTCACACCTGAAAGGGAGATTTTCTGTAGTTCTTGTAACAGTGAGTCCTGACACCCAAAGCCTCATCAAACTAATGGGAATGATTTTATTCCCTTCAACAGTACGTGTGTTTGTTTGGTAATTTTTCTCAATCTCATTTCATCCAGAGCTAATTTGCAAAGCTATAGGTTCCTGGCACCTTGGTAACTACAGTGAGAGACTTGAGGCTTTCCTTGATAGAACTGTGAAATGGGAGCAAGGAGAAGACATATTTGATTTCAGCGTTATGGTTCTCTTAGTGGCCACTCTGTTATCTTGGACATTAAAAAGAATTCTCAAAATTGTTTCTGAAAATCTCAGAAGTATTTTTGATAGGGGAAGCCCAGAAACCGAATATTCTCCAAACGCTTATTCGTTGGTCTTGCACTTACAGATTCAGTTGTTTGACATTTGGTTAGTTGAGTGATCATTGGCCATATCCTCCTGAATGGAAAGCTCATCTTCAGGATTGTTTTGAGAGTGTAAAATGGAGGAAATATATTTACCAACAATATGGGAGTCGTTTTTTTATGTAGCTACTTCTTCACTGTGAGCTGTTAATAATTCTCCCTGTCTCTTAATCCTTTTAGAGGAGACATTCCTAAATGTATTTCATCCTTGATCATTACATGTCATGACAATGAAAAATTTTTTATGTCCTTGTCCTCTAAATATGAAACATTCCTGGGGCATCTGGGTGGCTCAGTCAGTTAGGTGTCCTGCCTTCAGCTCAGGTCATGATCTCGGGGTCCTAGGATCATGCCCTGCATCGGGCTCCCTGCTCATCTCCCTCTCTCTCTGCCGCTCCCCTTGCTTGTGCTCTCTCACTCTCTCTCTGTCAAATGAATGAATAAAATATTTCTTAAAAATAAATATGAGGCATTCCCTTTATTAAGTCTGAGGAAAAAGGTCTAAAACCTGACTGACTTAAGGTTCTTTTCTATAGACAGATCATAAAGTAGATTGGGCCTGGCAGAGGTTGGCTTAGGTTATAGGATGTAATATTTGCCATGGAATTAGACAAACAACTCTTCAACACTTTGAACATAATAAGAATTTATTAGTTGAACTATTTAATATATGAATTGGGGCTCAAGACATGGACTGCAGTCATCTACCGAATCATTTATGAGATTAATATGCATTTATTCTGCAAACATTGACTGCATTGCCTGATTTGAATGTTGGGCATGATGATGCTATTGTAAAATGTTAGCACCAAAAGGGATCTGTGCTAAGTGCGCCTGAGCCAAGCTTTTTATTACAAGCGGGAGATTGAAGGCCAAAGTGGACTAGGTGTTTGGTCCAGGTGACTAGCTCATCTGGGTTGAGGTGCCAGTTGGGCTAGGGATTTCAGAGACTTGCAGTTGCTCAGACTGTGTCAAGTGGGACTTCTGAGTATGGGTAGATAGGTTCTTGTCAATTATGGTAGTTGTCTCATTCATGTATTTATATATTTATTACAACAATTTTCCAGCAGATGGCAGTCAAGTGCCTGAGGAAGAGGCATGTTTTTCTTATTCATACAGGAACCCTGGTGCTAATGAGAAGGTTAATGGAGCAGGATGAAGAAGGAAGCAGAGTTAGGACCTTGTTTAACTGAAGAAGGTGGTAGAAACAGGGAAATAAAGTATAAGATGGTGAAGAAAGAGCAAGGGAAATCATTTCCCTTTTATTTATACAAATAAAATGTCTTTCCCACAGCAGTATTATCTGTGCATGTTTCTGCTGTGTTCCAGATGTGATTTGAATTTTGATACACTGCCATGTTTCTCAGCTGCCTGCAGTGGATTGAAATCACCCTTTCCCAAGGTCAACTTCAGAGATACACTGTCTCAGTTGCAGTTACAGCGTATAATAGACATTCTGGATGTGACAGGTTTACTGCCATATTCATTGGTACTCTGGGGCTGTTCCCCCCACTGAAAGACCTAAGACCCAAGCCTAGGACTGTTTCTGGAAAATGAAGAATTGAAGGAAAATGGCTGTTTGCTTGTTTCTTGTTACTAACAAGAAATCAGGACCTTATGCTTCCACCTTTTTTTTCCTGCACTAAAACAGTTACCCTCTGAAATCATCCTTTCATCATGGCAAGATAGCCTGACCCTAAATTGGAGCCTGCACTTGATCTTAGCCAAAAGGCTGAGAAGTGATTAGATTGGAGCCTGGAGCCCAGAGTGTAGCTACTAGCTTGTTTTTGATCTGGGACAAGTAACTAACTAATCCTTTCAATCCCATTTTCATCTTTACAGTAGGGAATGGTACCCCTCTCACTGGATTATTTTGAGAGTTCATTAAAGGAATATCTCTATAAGCTATAACGTACAGGAGATATGGAAGAGGGAGGTGGTATCCCAGCTCTCATACTGCCTAGGCCCCTTTGCTTCCTATTTATAAAAATTCCCACACTAAGGGGCGCCTGGGTGACTCCATCAGTTAAGCATCCAGCTCTTTTTTTTTTTTTTTAAGATTTTATTTATTTATTTGACAGAGAGAGACACAGCGAGAGACAGAACACAAGCAGGGGGAGTGGGAGAGGAAGAAGCAGGCCTCTTGTGGAGCAAGGAGCCCGATGGAGGGCTCGATCCCAGGACCCTGGGATCATGACCTGAGCCGAAGGCAGCCGCTTAACCAACTGAGCCACCCAGGCACTCCATAAGTGTCCAACTCTTGATCTCAGCTCAGGTCTTGATCTCAGGGTTGTGAGTTCAAGCCCCCCCCTGGGTGTGGAGCCTACTTAAAAAACAAAACAAAACAAAAAAATTCCCCACACTTATTAAAATAAGAACCTAAAAAGCACAATGCTTAGAAAGTCTTGTCTTAATAGCACAATTTCACATTCTTTGGGCAGCAGGCCTGCTGGATCTCTAGCTGCCACCCCCACTCCCCACCAGACAAACTACATGGGCTGTCACTTGTTTTTTCTAAGCCTACGCAGGTGAACCAGCAGCAGCCCTTTTCTTTGGTGTTGAAAAAAGGTGGGGAGAATGTCCTAATGGGAAATTTCTTTTTCTCATCAGGTAAGGAGAGCTGCTTTGAGAGAATTGTGTCTAGGTTTGGAAAGAAAGTCACATATGTAGTGATTGGAGATGGACGAGATGAAGAAATTGCAGCCAAACAGGTAACCACGGTAAAGAGAATAGTCCATGTGGGAATGCATCAAACAATTAGAAAAATGGTAAAAGTCAGAAATCTTAGGAATCTTGTGCATTTATAGTGTTTTCTTGTCCTGTTTTTCTTTAAAGAAAGATGTTCATTTTTCCCCCAAATAGAGTTTTCCCTATAAGTTGTTAGATCCTTCCTTTCCCCCTCCTCCCTGCCACTCAGAAATCTTAAAATATTTGAGCCCTGCTGTAGGGACCCCCATCATTAAACCTGATACAGGCCCCATCTGCCGTCTTCATCTTAGAGGGCAATGCCTTCCCAAGAGCATGAGACTTCACTACAAAAAGGCAAATCAGTCTGACTTTTCCAGGCTTTAGATTCTCAAAAAGCCAGTACAATCAAGTGAAAGTTGTTTAGATGAAGTCCTTCCTGCTTTCGAGCCCAGAAAAGATTGTTCTGCTGTTAACGTCCTCACTGTGCAGGTCCCAACTCCAGGCCACCTCATCTCACTACAGGAAACAGTAGATGAAAGAGTCTTGACTGTGGAATCTAAAATTAAATTGGGTCACCTCTCCTCCATTGATTAGCTGTGTGACTTTGGACAGTTTACTTCTCCTCTTTGAGTTTCCTCATCTGTGTTTATTAAATGGATCTACAGAAGTTCTTTTCCTCTGCCTGGTTTCCTTCCAGCAACTCTATTTCTTACATTTGGAGGTAGAGGTTGCCAGCTAGGACCAGCTGTCCTGATTTCTTCAGTTAACGTAAATATTCAACTACTAATAAACTGTGAGATTGGTAATTGGGTGGCATTATTACCTCATTATGTTTTCATGTACTATTTTATGTAGCAATTCAAGGACCTTTATTTTTTTTCATGTGTTATCTTTGAGGCTTTGATTCTGAGGTACTTGTTGCCCTCTGGGGGGGAGGAGGGGGAAGAAGACACTAGTGGATGGAGGCAACACTGCTGCTTGGTTTGAAGAAGGGAGTCGGGGAGATAGGGAACAATTAAGTCATTAGCGGAGTTGGGGCCGCTAAGCTGATGCCTATAATCATCTACCACAGAATATGCCCATTGGAACATGCCTTAGAGCTCTATCCAGTTCAACCTCTACCCTGTGAGGGACCTTTTCTCCAGCCCCTTTCCCAGAAGACTTCCTAGTCCTTGCTTGAATAAACCCAAGGATGGGGAAACTGCTTCCTGTGGCGTGTCCTCCTGTGGCGTCATCCAAGCTGTTAGGGTGGTCCTCCTTCCACTGAACTCAAACTTGTATCTCTCACTTTCATATCCTGGTCGTCCGAGTCCTGAGTATGATGTAACAAGTCTGTTTCCTGTTCTGTATATTAAAAGCCTTTTAAATATTATGGGTGAGCAGCCTGCTTGAGAAACACTGAGCTTACTGCCAAAAGAACTGTTGTAAAACTTCAGTATTTCGGGTAACTTGCAAGCAGTGTGAGCAAAACGATCAGTAAAGCTAATCCCCTTCAGCTTCATAGAACATGGTTTCCAACACTTGGATTTTTCAAATCCCTTCTTTAAAATGTGGCTTCTATAACAGCACACAGTATTCTGGACATGATTTTGACAACATGGTAAATGGGATTATTATTTCTTAGATCTGTGTATTCTGCATCTTAGTCGTGAACAAGATTTGGGCTTTGTAGAAACTTACAGAAACTTTGAAACGTATAGAAAACTGACCATCTTTAAGAAAATGTAATATATTAATAGTAATTTCTTATGTGGGTCATTTTATTTGATCCTGAAGACCCTGTATAATGGCTAGAACACACCCAAAAGCACAGTTAGCACAAAAGACCTGATAAAAATCTCTCACATTTGTAAAGTGTCCTCTAGCATACAAAGTCCTTATACATATGACTTACTGATCCTTAATAACAGCCCTATAAGGCGGGCAGGAGTAGAGAGTGTTACCAAGTATCTTGGGGAGAGGAAGAGGTATATAGGTAAGTATCAGCTCCCAAAAGAGGTTGGGTTAGTCAACTATCAACTATCCCCCTGTCTTCCAGCACAACATGCCTTTCTGGAGAATCACCAACCATGGAGACCTAGTGTCCCTCCACCAGGCTTTGGAACTTGATTTTCTCTGAGAACTGGAATGAAGACCCTTCCCCGTGAGCTCCTTTTCACTCCTGAAGGGAGCTAGAGACCGGAACCATCTGGGAACTCTCTCTCTCTCTGTCTCTGTCTCCGTTTCTGTCTCTGTCTCTGTGTGTGTCTCTCTCTCTCTTTCTCCATGGAATGCTGGCGAGAACACAATCAGAACCAACAGCTGCAAGGGACGAAGCTTATTTTTGCTAAGAGTGAGCTGCAGCCCTGTGTTCATCCTCGTACAGAGGCAGGAGACAGTTGGATTGAGAGAACAATAGACTCACCGCAGCTACAGTGCTTTTAATTCTTCTGTTTTTTATTTCATTTTATTTTGTTTCAAAAAAAGAAAAGAAAAGGAAGTTCTTGGGGCAGAGTTGCACTCTTAGTTTGTGCCCAGTTTGAGAACTGCTCTGAACTTGAGGGAACAGGATAAATGTGGCAGACTTTTGTGATACCATCTCTTGCAGTCTTTGTAATCTCCTTAGCTCTAGAACATATTCCCAGGGAATGTATATGTTATTTTTATAGTTAAGGGTCTGGTCTCTGAAGCAGGTTTTCCCTCCTTTCTTTTTCTAGCAAGAAAGGGGTGTGTAAAGTTTCCTTGGAAAATAGCAGTTGAAATATCTAAAATACCTCTCTGTGACAGTAGCACCTCTAGCTGCCCCAGCGGTCTGCTCTCTAGGGTGGTTTCCTTCCCGTTCTTCCATCTCCTAGTTGGCTGAACTGTGGGGCACTGGACACTGATAACTTTAGACTTTGGTATTTCCCATCCTAGAAGCCTTAGTCCCCTTTCCAATCCCTGCCCCCCTTCAACCAAATGGCACAGCCCTAGAAACTCCCTCTCTTAAGAGGTAAATTCTAAGCCTTCAGCTAGACTTTTATTCAAAGACTGTGTCCCAGAGGGCTTACCTCCCAACTGGAGGGAAAGGACTAAGGCTTCTTAGGAATTTCTGCTTCTTTGGCTCTTGAGACAAGAAGAGTCCACCTTTTCCTCCTGCCGAGAAGCACCCGTCCCCAGCAGATGCTCACCCTGCAGCCTTCTCTGCCTTCTTAGTCATCAGTACTAAACTCTTGCCCCTTTCCTGCCCTCTGTACCTCACATCTGCCTCCATGCAGCTCTGGCCAGTCCCTCGGCTTTGGACCCAAGAAGTTAAATCAAGTCTGAGAACAGACTCATAACTACATTTGACTTCCTTTGAAGCCCTTAAGCCAAGAAAGGTATTTTGGGCATATATTTACCCAAATCTCTTCCTGAAACTGAAGAACAGATTGCTATGATCAAAACCCACTTTTCCCATGGAACACCCTTCCTGCTTCTCAAATCCCATTCTAAAATGGGAAACCAGAAGGCCAGAAAGACTTTCCTGATTTAAATAAGGGTGCTGGGACCCCACTCCATGCCTGAAAATTGAATCCTGGGCTAAATGCAGGAACGTCTCTCACCCTGACCTCTAGGAAGATTGGTGGGCGCCAGGCAACTAATCCCAGCCTTACAGTCCAGCTGTGTTGTGGATGCTCCATCCCTCAAGACAAACGTGGGCATCTGCTCAGGCAGGGTTAACTTACTAGAGCTGAGGAAGTTGAGCCTCTCCCCGGCTGCCTGGAGAGGTGATCATATAAGCACCTCAGGTGTGCAGTCTGGGTCCTCAGTAGGAGGCATCCCTTGACCAACCCCAGCTGTAATTGCTTGCCCTCAGAGATTCTGGGTATCCATTTCCAGAAATGTTGCGGCACAAAGGGGCCAGGCTCCTTCCAACGCCAGACCACCCGAATGGCAGCAGAGAAAAACTGATAGACACGTTCCTTCCGAATTGACTGAGAAAATGCTCTATTACTCATAATTTTAGGGAAGCAGTTTTTGGGAAGGAGCTGAAGTCAGTGCTCATTACTTAGCTGCCTCTCTGACCTTGCCGCCTCTGGCAGGTGGGGAAGAGATGGGGCAGGTAGTCGGAGGCCAACCTTCCATGGTCTGAGTTCGGCATAGTTGTCCACATGCTGCTTTGCCTTGCTTGATAATTGATCTTAGAAAGCTCTATGACGGGCCTTTCTTCCAGGCCCCAAGCTCTCCCCATACTGGCGGTATAACTGTTGGTTCCCTGCACTGGACATAGGCCACCTGGTTGGTGCTGTACTTCAGGCCTGTGAGGCTGTGGAGTGGTACCCCCGTCACGCACACAGGGCCACACACAAACACTTCCCTCTCCCTGCCCTTTGGGAGAAGCTCTTTATCCCTATGAGTTGGACTCCTCTTTCGACGGCATTTCCCTCACTCCCGCACCCCCGCCCTGACTGCCCAGCTTGGGTCTTTGCAAAAGGAACTTGAAATTGGTGAAGAGAGGTGAGGAAACTATACCGAGCAGAGCACTTCTGCTTTCTTCTGGTTGTTGCTGCCCTCATTATAGGACAGACAGAAAATGAGAGCTCCTCAATTCCTCTTTTCCAAAATGAGTTATCCAGGGAACACAGCGTTCTTCTTTCACCCTGTGCTCCAGCACAAAGATCTAGAAAGGAAAATAAGTGGGTAGCACCAAGAGCTCTTGGAAGCTGAGGACAAAATGATACCGTGGGTCATTTCTTCAAGGGGAAGCCCTCTTTTACTAGCAAGTGTCCCCATGAAATTAGCCACATGATGAGTCTTTCCCCCAGCCAGGCACTGTGGGTTCTAGAAGATGGGTCTGCACATTTCATGGTGAGGACTGTCTCTAGTGTGGGATCTGGAGTTGTCAGATGTGTCCTGGGTTTAAGAGGTGGCTTGACTTCCGAATGTAAAACTGACTGTGCCTTAGCATCACCCTGTCCAGTGCCCCTGGGGCAGCTGGTGGTGTCCAGGAGAATAGATGCCTGTTCCAGACTTCGATGCCTGTTTGGGCTTTTATTTAGTTTGGGATGTTCCTGTCTTCTGCTCTGCAAGTTGAGGGACAAAGCTAGTGTCCCAGGAGACTTGTGCCACAGCTTGTTCGCAGTTTATACAAACTCACTTTTCAAGCTCCAAGTAGAATCTGATTGGCAAACTCTAGCTGCAGCATATGGAGCATCTAGATGTTCACTACCTTGAATGGGTGTCAGTGCCACTGAACCAAGGGGGACGGGGAGAGGGGCAGGGCCACATTCTTCTCTTCCTGGGAGGACAATGGTCTAAGCCAAGGATGGTGAGCTGGGGCCTTCCTCTCCTCACTCCTGTAGAAGAGGGACAGTTAGGGCCCTTCTTTAAGCAGGTTTCTACTTCTTACCACTAAATTGGCTTCCTTTTTCATCCAAAACTTGGGAGTCCCCAGATGTTCACACTTACAAAGAAGCCAAATCTGAATTCTGGGATTCTAAAATATCTTTAACTATGAGAGAAAAATGTAGTTCTGTCCCATCCCCAATTTGCAGGCCCTCTGTCCCTTCCTCTCCTCTGACTTAGCTCCAGCAAGCAAGGCTCCACGGCTAGTCCCTAATGCACTGACGGGAGCCATCTCATTTAGGACAACTTCTACTCAAAACATGACCCTCTGGACTTCAGATGCCTCATTTAGCAGGAAAAGGCATTGAGCGGATTGGATATATTTATGTGACTGCGGGCATTCGTGGCTGTGTAGAGTCCTTGACCATAATGTTATATGTAATGGGAACTATCTTATAAACTTGAAAAAATAAAGTTTTTATTTTCTATACAGTTTGCTCCTGTGTCTTTTCTGAGTAGGATCAGCCCAGTTGCCCAGCTAAGTAGGCTCCTAAGTAGGGCTTCGTAAAAAAATCTTTAGAGCTCATTAGAAAGATGGCACCCTTCAATAACCCGGTCATTAATTTCATCAAAAATTAAGAACCATTTGGTATAAATAAATGTACATGTGGAAATAAATATTTTAAAATAACTTGCAAGGGAAAGTTTATTTCTTGTTTCTAAAATCTATTGCTTTTTATTAAAGTTTAGGACTGGAATGATAAGAGGTCTCATTTGCTGTCAAATGTGCTGCAATTTAATTATTAAAGAGAAATCACTACCTTGCTGTGATGAGCTTAAAATGCAAAAGCAATAAAACTGACAAACTGATATCAAACCTTGCTTGATTTGGCCTGATTTCCCGTCACGTCAACTACTTCTGCTCATTTCGTTTCTTCAGATTGGGTCTGACTGTCCCTCACTGGTCTGGACAACAGTCGAGAATCCCTTTGCCTTTTATTCCAACGAAGGAGGACAGAATTCAGGTCTGGCTTCCAAGTACTATAAGATGTATTTTTCTCCAAATTAATTCCTCCTTAGAAAAGGGGGTTGCCTTGTATTCTAGGCATTAGATTTTTTTGTCATAAGGTACATATTTCGAACCACATCATAGCTGAAGCAAACTTATTAGTTGTTACATCTTTAACTTGGTCATAAGTACAGATACTGGAGTATTACTTGCTTTTCGAGCCCTACGAGTAAACATCTCCATCTCCCCTATAGTAAGTACAACATCTGCGCATTTCTCAAAAACCTTTTGCTGGCAGGTAAAAATTAGTAATCCAGGATGGTTTTAGTCTTCAAAAACAAGTTTCTTGACCTTTGAAAGAAATTCTTGATGGAAATCTTTTAAAAACTCTTTAATTCTATAAACTTTATATACAAACGAAGAAGCGACTGCTTCATTCCACAGATTTTAGGTGGTATGCCTCATATGTTGTTTCAATTTAATTACATATTACCATCATCTGACAGTTTCATTTAGCGATTACAGGTGAGCGTTTAGCCAAAACATTAAAAGCACACATCTTCGGGATTTTTCTCCGGGAAAGTAGGGACTTGCCTAAAACACTGTGTCTTCTGTTTGAGCATATATGCCATCTCCCCTGAACCTAATCTCTACGTATGACAGGAAGCTTGGAAAAGTCAACAGCACCAATATTTGTTTTAGTGAAACCCTTAGGACCTAAATCCGAGGCTGGGTTGGGCACTAAGCCCACCCTCTGGGGTCTCAACCCTTGATATTCTCAGTGACTTGGGAGAAACTATAATGATTTCTCTTATGGATGTGTTTATGTGTGTTTAAATGTATTCAATTAAAAGAATGGTCCTTTTATAATACTGTATATTAGACCTCAATCAAAAAAAAAAAAGGAATGATCCTTTCTCGAAGGCCATTATATCCTAGTAGGAGATGATGATAATAGATGGTAGTTTTTACTGCCTTTTTTTTTTTTAATGTATTATTTGTTTCGAGGTACAGGTCTGTGATTCATCAATCTTAATACAATTCACAGCGCTCACCATTGTACATACCCTCTCCAATGTCCATCACCCAGCCACCCCATCCCTCCCACCCCCTTTCCACTCCAGCTTTACTGCCTTTTTGTTGTTAAAATTAAGTCAGCACCCATGTTGGCCATATTACTGGTCCGTGAAATTCAAGTCTAGAAATCACTGGATGGGATGATCCTGGAAATCCTTCTGGCCTTACCTTTCTCTGTATGTCAAAAAGCACCAGCATCATCTCCCCAGGGCTCCCTCCACCCCGCCCCATCTCTGTCATCCTTGGCTCCAGGCCAGCATAGCTGTGCAAGCCTCCCACAAGCGTCCCGCCAGGCCCTGCTGATTTGGTCCCTGGGGTGGAGTGCATCTGCATGGTTCTCACCCTCCATCCTTGAGGGCTCAGTCAGTTTCTCAGGGAGGCCTTCCCGAGCCATGCCATACAGAACTAGAACTCCCACCCACAACATGCATTCACCCTCTCCCTGGGGGCCCTTCCCTACTTTATCTTTTACACTATCTCGAACAGTTCTGCTTATCCTGTTTATTGTGTCTCCACTAAAATGAATAATAGAACGGAGACGATCCTGGCCCCCTCACAGGGAGGATTGCACCTTTTCCTTTTGTCTCCAGTGCCCTTTTCCTGTTCCCTGGTTTCCGCATATCACAGATCTTCCAGAGCAACAAAAGTTCCACCCCCCTGGCATCATGGCCCACATCCACATCCCCTATGTTGCCGCTTTGCTTACACCCTCCCTGAGCTCCCAGCACACGTACCTTTCTTCACCCGGCCTCTGTGATTCACTTCTACCAGAGGCGTTTTGTGGCTCCTGCCAGGCCTAGCAGCAAAGCCGGTTAGCAGCACACATGAGAGTGGGCCCAGATCTGGGTTCTGATGCCCACAGGTGACGACCAACCCCACAATGGCTTACCAGCTCCCGAAACTTGGAAAACAAGGTTGAGAACCAGCCCTCTTCTCTGGTCCCAGGGTCCTCACCAATTTTAAGGGTGGACTTCATGTCCCTGACCCTTCTTTCCAGGTGTCCTTGAATTCTGTAGATTAATGACACAACTAGGTTGGAGGGTTTCATGAGGTTTTAATAATAATCTAATAATACTGTTAAACAAAAACAACACATACGTGTCCTTCACTTGCAAAGACATATATGCACACACGTTCTCTTCCTCTCACATAGACTCTGAGGTAGAAAGTGTACTGCCTAGAGTAGAAAAATACTCAACGGGCTGAGCCATGGCCCAGACCACAGGCTCACAAGCACTTGGTTGAAAGGTGGCCACTTGAGAGCAGGGCCAGAGGCTGGGCCGGCAGCACTGAGGCCTTGGGGGGCTGACGGGGGCCACTAGCTGGACATCCCCGGCTTCCAGCATGACTGCCCGCTCAGGGGTAGCTGGAGAGAGTAAGGGATAAAGCTCAGGTGGCAGCTGATCTTGGTCCAGCCTCCAAGGATAGAATATTCCTGCCACAGAGAATGCTCTCAGTAAACATTTGTTCGATGAACACAATGACAGGCGAGGCAGAGAGGAAGAATTCTGAACACATCCTGGGGATCCGGGGCCTTCTAGCCCAGGATCGGAGAGCCAAGCCGTGGGACAGCACCTCCACCTATTATTTTAGAGGTGGCCAGGGAGGTGAAAATACCATCTCTAGGAGCTTTGGGTACCAGCTCTACTGGTTGGTGGGGGTGGGGTCGGGTGGGGAAGGGGGTCTCTTCTTTCCTCCCAAAGTGTCTTGTATGTAACTGGAGCCCTTGACTCCAGGGCCCTGTTGTTCTCATCTTGTTCTCATCCTCAAAGGCAGGCCTGTGTCCTTACTCAACTCTGGTCTCCAGTGCCTGGCACATCAGGCATCAAGTGCTTCCTGAGGGAATCCAGGCCCATAGCTGCATCATTAGCTTATCTTCTGCATTCTACCAGTTCATTCCATCTGTTCTGTGCCTGCCGGGTCGGGCCTCGCCTCAAAGGACCCCATTCTCCTCTCCCTTCTGTGGCAAAGCAGCCTCATCCCTAACCCTGGGGAAAAAGTTCCGAGCCAAGTGGGTCAAGCGCCTGTTGTGAGGCAGCCGACGCCCCTCGAGGGAGCAGACGTCCTGGGCCCCATCCACCTGGTCAGGCTCCCAGCGGCAGCTTGGGTGCAGCCAGCAGTAGTACACGAGCCGCAGAGCCAGGCCCAAGAGGAAGCAGACGCCACTCGCTGGCAGCAACATCTGCAGTGGGATCCCACTGGGCAGCCAGGTGACGTGAGTCAACCACGTGACCACCATGAGGACACTGTCACTCAGGAGGAACAGCAGGTGGATGGTGGCGCGGCCTCGGGTGCGGCCCTCGGCCACATTGAACCAGGAGAAGTACAGAATGGTGGCCACAGTGGCCCGGTACAGCCACTCCGAGCAGGAGTCTGGCATGAAGTCTGTGCCCTGCAGCCAGACCCACGACAGCAGCACCAGCCACAGGCCCAGGAAGTGCAGGGCCACGTAGTGGGGGAAGAGAGCAGAGAAGAGGGCCACGGCCAGCACTCGGGGCCACAGCAGCAGCAGGTTCCACAGGAAGTAGAACACAGAGGAGCCCAGCCCCAGGCGCGACCTGGTGGGGAGGCAGGTGCGCAAGGCCCGGTGGTAGTCAAGCAGCGCCCACGAGATGCCCATGAAAGACGTGCAGATGCCGACCCCTGTGGAGAGGAAGCGGGCACAGGTGAGCCCTGCAGGCAGTCGGCCTGGCCCTCCCTAGAGGGCACAGGCACCACCCCAAGGCGGGTGTCAGAGCCCCCGATGGCTGAAGGGGAACTGCAGCTGGAGAACACCTGTTCACACAACCGAAAACAGAGCCAGGGTTCAGCTAGGTTGGAGGGAGTCTGCCCTTCGCCGCAAGGCGTAACTTTTCAGGTGCTAACACAATGACATTCTTCCAGGATTGGCGGGGGGGGGGTTGGGCTGTGCGACTTCCATACCCTCATCTGCACCCTTGTCACCCAGCATCGGGCGCCCCGGGCCCCTGGGCACACCCTGAGCACCGTCTAGGGCCCTGTAACCCGTCCTTTCCCAGAAGAACCCAAGCCTTTCTTGGCACTGAAAATCAGTAATCCTGGCTCCCTGTTTGTAGTCTCAGAAATGGAAGCAGGAAATTCCAGGGGTGGCAACCGGCCCATGGCGGAAGCTACCCTCCAGGCCGGGAGGGCCAGGCCCTACCACACAGATAGAACGTCCCGGCTCGGACTGGGCCCTCATCTTGATTTTTCCAACACTCGAAGTTTACGGTGGAGATCCTCTCCCACCTCCCAGACTAGAAGCACCAGGATCTCCAGGGAGGGGTGAAGGCAGCACTGGAATGTCTCTAGAATGCTCACTCCCCGGCCCTTTCCCACTGCGGTCGGTCGACAGATATTTACTGGAAGCCTGTTGTGGACCAGGAAGCCACCCCTACCCTGGGAGCAGATCTGGGGCAACGTCCTTTCTAACTAGCCCACATTAGGTCTCAGCGGAGCTGATATCCTTGCCGTTTGCCTCGTGTGCTGCATTCGCTGACTTGGACAAGCTTAGCCCACAATATCGAGCAGGCCAGGAGCACATGCCTGCGAGCCCAGCCAGAATTTTCCCTAGAGTCACCCCCCCAGCCCACCCCACCCCACAGGGGACCTGTAACACCTCACCCCCTTCTGTCTGGAGTCTTAGCACACAGTCATTCTCTACTGCCTTGTCTCTGAGCTCCTCCAGGGTACAAAACATTCTGCTCCCTTGGGGTCCCCAGCAGCCCAGTACCTGGCACATAATAGCAGCTAACTAAATGTTCGTGAAATAAAAAGTTAGGGAAATCTGTCTCTTCCCTCACTCCCTGCCTCCCCTGCACACACAGTGGAGACCGTCCCCAGGTAGCCCTGATCCTAGACACCCGCGGCGGCAAACAGACAAACAGAAGTATCTGCCCAGTGAGTGCTGTGTGCCCCGGTGATCACTTCTGTCTGCACCTCTTGCCTCTCGTGTCAGGTGGAGAGAAGAAAGAGCACCAGCCTCCAGGGCCGCTGTGCGTGTGAGCGGCATGACAGCGAGGCACTTGGCACGGTGCCCAGTGGGCGGCAGGCACTCGGCCACCGCGCCCGCCCGCACTCCATCTGTCCTCACTTGGAAGGCCAAGGAGCAACTTCCGAATTGAACACAGAGCTACCTAAGGGACATCCTCCTGTTTTCTAAGCAGCCTTGATCGAAGAGTGAAAACACTCCTGCCCTTCGCCGGAAGCCCCCCCACGCCATAAAGGGGGACTGGCCCCCGGTCCATCACTCACACTGGTAGGGCTCGGCCCGGCCGCTCTGCAACACGATGGCCAGCACCAGCGTGAGCTGTGGTGTCGTCTCCAAGAAGGTCTCGAAGAGCCGCAGCATGCTGATGTCCAGGGTTAGGAAGTCGGCATAAGCCAGGTCAAACTCGGAGGGCGCCTCCTGCTGCCACACCAGGAGCCCCTGCTGCAGCCCCTGCACACACCTAGGCAGGTGGGGTATGGATGCCCTGAGGGGCCAGGTTAGTGTCCGCTGTGCTCCACCTCCCCTCGCCCCGTGCCTAGATGCGGGCAGTCTCCACTCCAAGCTCGTCACTGACATGCTGTGGGGCCCTGGGCACGAGTGACTTAACCTCGCCGAACTCGTTCTTCATCGTAAAATGGGGATCGGTACCAACTACCACTGCCCGGGCTGGCCAGGATGCCCTGGGGTCATCACAAACCCTGTTCCATTTACTCCTTACAACACCCCCATTTGACACACGGGGAAACAAGACCAAAGAGCTAATAAATGGTAGAAACAGGATTCGGACCCAAAGCTGTGTGAATTTCAAAGGCATACTATGAAACTGCCCCAGGTGGTAGTTCTCAAATTTTAGCAAGCCTAAGATTTTCTTAGGACCCTGTGGGGGAAAGGGGAGCCATTGAGAGCTTCTGGGCACAGGCAGGATAGGTCGGACTGTGCTGTAGAAAGATCTCTCTGGCCGTGGAGAAGTGGAAGGGGAAAGGGGCAAGACCGGAAGGAAGATCCATTTAAGAGGACTGTCCAGAGTGGTGGGCATGGAGACTGACACAGAGTTAAGGGAGTCCAGAGGTTGGACAGACAGGCCCGGGTGACCCACTGGCATGAGGGGGGCAGTGGAAGATGCACCCTGATCTACCCCACCTGGAACTGATCTTAGCTGGCTATTGGGAGTTGAGCCCATTCACTCCGTGCCAATTCATTCATCAGAAATTTACGGTCACTTCCTCTGGAACTTGACAACACAAAGGAGTAGGGGGGCAGGCCCAGGTTGGGGCTCTCCCTCAGCAGGAGCCTCTGCCCCGGGTCCCCCAAGGCGCCTGCCTCTCTCTAGTCAAAGGCAGGAACAGAGACCCCATTTTCAAAACGAAAGTTCAGTAAAGCCTGCCTGCCTCATGCTCAGCAGAAATAGGAGAAGGGAGGATGCATGACATAGTTATGAGTTCAGGGCTCCTTGAGGCCTGCCAGGACTGTAATAACTGCCCTCCTTTCTGCCCATTCGGCATTTTATCACGAGGCCCGTGCAGTCCCTCAGGCAAAACTGCAACATTCAAAGATCCTCTTGTCCACTCCTAGAGGCTCAATGCAGCTTTGTCAAAGCAAGATCTGGAGAGAATCTGCAAAATGGATTCAAGAGCAGATCCTGGCTCCAGCCACCTCATCCCAACCCAGACCACATGGTGTCCTGACTCCATCGCTGATCCCTTGGTTTCAGTTTCTCCATCTCTAGAAGGTCCTGCCAGTTCTGAGAAGGAGTACAGCCTACACAGATTTTCTGGAACCCAGCCTGTGTCCAGCCCTGGCTGGCTCAGGGGACACGGATGAGTCAGACCCCATCGCTGCGCTCTTGTTTGCTCTAGGGGTGAGAGAGTAGGGAGGGGAGGAGGGGTTGAGAGAACAAGCTCTGCTCTGGGGGTCAGGGCTGCTGAAGATCCTGGGTGACCCCGGTAATTTGTTGAAGGCTTGCTCTGCACCAAAGCAACTTATAGGTCTTATTTCGTTTAATTTCGTTTCATCCCTACCAAACAGAGGCAGGCGCAACAACCATCCCCACGGGAACAAGGAGTAAACTGAGACCCAGAGGGCTCAAGTAACTTGCCCAAGGCTCCACCCACAGCAAAAAAGAACATTTTTTGTATGAAACACATCACTGGTCTGCCATTACACTAGAGTCCACCAACAGCCAAGCCCCAAGCTAGGCGCACTCGGCTCTTGCCTTCACTGCCCACAACAGGCCCGCCTGCCAGACCTGTCTCTACGTTCCTGCCACCTTTTCACAGAGGAAACTGAGGCTTAGAGAAGGCAGGAATGAGGCCACAGATGGTAAATTAGCTAGCACGGGAGCCCAGACAAGTCTGCCTCCAAGTCCTGTGCCTCCTTTTCTTCTCTGGGCTTCAGTTTCTGTCCCAGTGCCAGGGACGGTAGGGCTAGATGGGCTCTGAGGGCTCTCAGCCGGCCTCTCTTTCTACGGGGGGGGGGGGGGGGGGGGAGCTCACCTGTCAGCAGAATTGCCCACAAGGGCTTAACTTGCTCTTCTGGGCCCCCGATCCTCTCCTTCCCACCCTCTTCCCGGTGTCAGGGCTCTCCCCGGTGCTGGTAGCCCGGCCGCAGGTGCCGCTGGGCTCCGTTCCGTTTCCCTCTTCCCGAGGGCGTGGTGCTCACCTGTACAGGTAGCCCAGCTGCAAGAGATGCAGCAGCGCCAGGTAGCGGCCCGGGGGCTGCGGCGCGTGCAAGCCGGCGGGGTCGGCGCGCAACCAGAGCCAGCTGAAGAGCTGCAGCGCGACCGAGGCGAGGCCCAGCAGCGCCAGCACCAGCGCGGCCCACAGGTAGCGGCCGCTGAGCACATACTGGCCCGCGGCCCACAGGTCGGCGCCCAGGTCGATCAGGAAGGCGGCGGTGCCCAAAAAGCCCAGGACCACGTCCCAGAGGAGCGCGGCGCGGGGCAACCAGGGCATGACCCCCCAGCCTCGCCCCCTCCCTCTCCTCTAGGCTCCGGACCCGCCCTCCCCGCCCGGGGTCGCCGCGGCAGGAAGGAGGCGGGCGCAGCCCTAAGGGCCTCCCAGGGCCCGGGCCTCCTGGGCGGGACTTCCCCGTCCCGCCCTGTCCGGGGAGGAGCAAGGCCCCGCGGACCCCGCGGCTAGGGGCGCCGGTGCTCCCCACCTCTGGCCGTCTGCGCCCCAGAAGGCCGCCCCCGGCCGTGGCCCTTACGCGCACGCAGCCCCGCTGAGCCCCGAGGACCGCCAGGCCAGAAGACGGCCCGCCCCGGCCGCACCGCCCTTCCTTAGCCCGGCCGACTTCTCATTGCTTCGCGTTGCAATTGAGGCAAAAGAAGGCCGGAGACGACGGAAATGGCCCGGGGAGTAGCGCCCGGGGTCGAACCGCGACGCCTCACGTCCGCGTTGTGGCAAAACAAAAAGGCCCGTTCTGATCCCCGATTGCGGGACTTCGCAGACTGGGTGTGCCTCGAGTGCGGGCGAGGACCGGGGAGAACGAGGGCCCGGGATCCCTAAGGCGCATCTTCCCGGAGCTCATTTTACTCCGATTATCCAAATGCAGGGGGGTCGGGGCGGGGGGGGGGACGTTCATAACTGTTCAGTAACTCAGTACGGGAGTTGCCGGAAACACTGTTTACATATGAAAAGGAAAAACGCACAGAATAAGAGGCGCATTGTTTTTTTGGATGAAACCTGGAAAGAGAAACACGCGCTGGGGTGGGGGGAGGTCTTGGGCGCTTCCATTCCTGATCCGGCTGCTCCACGCCGGTTCCCGCTGCGGCCGCCGGGCACGTGTGGCGGCGTGGCCCGGGGTCAGGGCGCGAGCAGCGCGAGCAGTGCGCGCAGGCCCAGCAGCGCCGCGAGCAGGAGCGCGAGCTGGGGCGCAGGCGCGGCGCCGGGGGCGCGCAGGCAGGCGGCGTAGGCGTCGAAGGCCACCTCGCGCAGCGCGCACAAGTGCTCGGCGCGGCAGGCCGGGCCGCAGGCTTCGCGGTCGTAGCTGACCGAGTTGTAGACGTAGTAGCGCTGCAGCGCGCCGGGGTCGTCGGCGATGCGGCCCAGCGCCGCGTGCATGGAGCGGGCGCCTGCGTCGGGCACCCCGTAGGCCTCGGTGAGCCGGTACTCTGGCTCCCAGAGCGGGGTCCCCTGCGCGTTCGCCTGGCTCAGGTTCACGAAGTAGGTCACCATGTCCTGGAGAGAGGGCGTGAGGAGGGCAGGCCATGAGGAGCTGGCAGCTTCCACCCCCCCAATCCTACACCTCGCATTGCCCCCCCCCCCCGCCCAATTCTTATAGCTCTCACAATGACTGCTGCTGGTGAGCATTTCCTACTTGCGGGGTATGCCTGGTATGCTGGTGCGGTAACTGCAGTTATCACCCCATTTCACAGATGAGGAAACTGAGTCCTAAAAAGGTTAGTTATTTCATTTGTCCAGAGTCCTACAGGTGTTGTGGCAGAGGTGGGTTTGGAATCCAGGCTGGGTTTTGTTTGTTTGTTTGACAGAGAGAGAGAGAAGGAACACGAGCAGGGGGAGTGGGAGAGGGAGAAGCAGGCTTCCCTCAGAGCAGGGAGCCCGACGTGGGGCTCCATCCCAGGACCCCGGGATCATGACCTGAGCCGAAGGCAGACGCTTAACGACTGAGCCACCCCCAGGCGCCGCTGGAATCCAGGTTGTTAACCCCGTGGCCTACTCATTTTCTGTCCCAGGTACGCAGAGAAGCTCAGTAAATATTTACAGAATTAATGGATAAAAAGCAACTTAAAGAAGTGTCAGGGAGTGCCTGGCTGAAAGAGATTATGGAATTGTGATTGAGGAGGGTTTGAGATACACCCAAGACTCCTAGGATCAGATGCATCTTCAGAACTAGAATCTGGAAAGGCTTATCTGTCCGATGCTTTACACTTAAATTTGTGGGCCTGCCTCAGGTCACCAGCAGTGGGCTAAGAGGAGCTGCCACGTATGGAGGGCAGCTTCCCCCCGAGGCACGTTATGTTATTTCATTCCGTGCTCTCCAAACCCTGTGAGGGACTGTTACTCCCATTTTACAGATGAGCAGAGGCAGGAAGAGGTAAAAAGTCTCATGAGGGGTGGAGCCAGGATTCAAACCCAGGCCTGTCTGCCTCCTTTCCTGAGAAGGCCCGTCGGGGGTGGGGGGGAGGTGGGGAACCGGCCGGTGATTCCTCTGCCAAGGCCCTCTGAGTGCCCGTGTGGACAACAGGCCACACTCTCGAAAGACCTCAGACCTCTTCTCTGTGTACACTTACTCTAGAGTCAAGGACCTAGGTCATCCCATCCAGTCCCTGGCTTTTAAGTGTCCTCTCTCAATCACCCGATTAAATCTCTATACCCTCCTCTTCCTGGGCCTCCAACCTGATACCCAGCTGCCTCGTCCTCAGCATTTTCACTGGGGCACCGCTTAGACCTCGCCAAGTTAACAGGTCCCAAACCAGACTTCTGATCTTCCCTCTGAAACCTGCTCGTCCCACGGTGATCCCGGTTCAGTAAAGGGCAGCTTCGCCCCTCCAGGCGCTGAGGCCAAAGCTTGGCTCCTCTCTTTCTCTGACACCCTCATCCAGCCCACCAGCAAACCCTGCCTTCTCTGCCTTCAGCAGACATCCAGGATCTGGGGCGTCTCGCTGCCCCACTGCCACGCCCTGGCCCATGCCACCATCACCTCTCGGTGGTTAGCGTGGTCCCCTCCTAACTCACCCTCCCCCACCCCCCATTTCTGCCCTTGCCCCCTACAGCCTGTTCTCTGCATAGCCGGCGGGGTGACTTTGTAATATTGTAAGTCAGAATATTTAATTCTGCCCCAAACCCTCCAGATCCAGAGTCCTAATCACGGCTGACAGGCTCTGACCTCGTCCCCCCCCCCCTCCCCTTGTGCCTTCCTCTGCGGCCACGACCTCCTCGCTCTTGCCTGACACGCGAAGCACAGTCCCACCCAGGGCAGCTGACTTGCTCTGTCCTCCGCCTTCCCCGGACGCCCGAGTGGGTCCCTCCCTCAGTTCCTTATTATTTATTGTGTGTCTCCTGTAAGAACGTCAGCTCCGGGAGAGCAGTGACTTTGTCACTGTTCACTTACGTAACTCCTGAGCTCAACACAGGGCCCGGCTCATGGTAGATGCTTAGTACATTTTGTTGAATAAATTAAGGAATACTATTTCTTTGCCATTTCAACAATCACAAGCCCATCCCAGGAAATGAGGGGTTGCTCAATGAGTTAGGGGCCGGCTTTGGCTGAGGCCTAGTCGGTGTAGGCATGAGGTGGGCAATAGGCATGAGGTCACACTGCAGGAGGCCTTGAACACCAGGCCAAAGAGATCCAGTTTATCTTGTGGGCACTGGGGAGCCATTGAAGGTTTTTGAGCAGAAGAGAGACAAGTGCTTTAAAAAGATTAGTGCCTTCTGTAGTATGTAGTAGATGAGCTACAGCAGGGCAGGGCTAGAGGTAGGGAAGCCAGGTAGGAGGCTGTGATTTAGGGTGAAGGGAGATTTGGGGACAAAGAATTGACCTGACTTGGTTGCAGATTTGGAGCGGCTCAAGGGAACCTGAGCTCTAGAAGAGGGTGGCTTAGCTGGAAGGAGTTAGGGAAGGCGGTGATACATTCAGGTCCCTCCCCATCCTCCCCCTCGGGCCCCAGCGGACCCAGGGCTCCTGACCTGCAGGCTCAGTGAGGCTCGGTCATATTCAAATACCCGGATGCCTGGATTGTTGGCCCCGTTGACCACTCCAGGTAAGGTGGTTTTCCATGGGGTGACTCCAGGGGTAAGGAACATGACACTGATGGGAGTACCTTTCAGGAGAGAGACCGTGGGGCTGAGAGGGAGGCTGGCAAGAGGAGGAGGGGGGTGGGCCAGCAGCTGTCCTCCGCGGCGAGTACCTGCATCATTGTAGAACATCCGGAAGCTGTCGGTGTGGTGGTGCCCGAAGAACTGCCCTGCGATGACTCGATGGTGCTTCCGGACCACCTTCAGGTACTCCTCATTGAAGCCCTCCCGGAACCACGCTTTGTTCCGCGTCTTCTCGAAGAAGCCCGGGGGCACGTGGCCAATAATGTACACCTGCAAGGAAAGGGTGCCCAGGAGGGGCTCAGGGGTGTCCCTCCCAACCCCTCACTTCCACCTGGCAACACCTGCCCCTCTCGCCAGAGGCAAGCAGACAGGCTCCAGGGTCCCCCCAGAGCCCACCCCCAGGCAGATGCCAGCACTCTAAGGCCCCAGCGATGATTTTACCAGGTTTCCCACCCCTGCGCCTTCGTGCGGGCTAAGCCTGCCACGTGGAGTACCCTTCTCTTTTTCCCAGACTGCCCTGAGGATGGGAAAAGCCCCCTCCAGGCGCCAGGCTGATGAAGGACCCTCAGTAATATCACTACGGGCCCCTCGAGTGAGTGGGTGAGTTTGTGCAGAGGTGGGAGACTTGTTCAGGAAGTGACCCCAGAGAGGGTAGCAGGTGGAGGTGGGAGCCCTTACCATCTCCTTAGCTTGGGATGCCCGGGTCAGCACATCTTCCAGCCACCGGAACTGCTGGGCAGGGTCTGCCATGCCAGCCGTCTGCTCATTGCTGCTGTAGTACAGATTGGTGTTGAGGACCACGATTCGCCCAGCCCCGCTCAGTCCCGGCAACTTCTCAGAATAGAAGGCACCTAAGGTGTCACAGCCAGGGAGAATCTGAAGGATCCCTGCGTCGGACGAACACGCCTCTGTGGCCCTCCATCTCACTCCCACCTTCTGCCCTCGCATCCTCCCTTCCCATCTTTCCTGTAGGAGGGGCGTGGTGAGAAGAGCAGAGGCTCCGGAGGCCCGCTGGCTCAGCTCAAGTCCTGGCTCCAGCACTTATTAGCTGTGCAGCGTGGGAACAGTTAGCCTTCAGCGCTCTGTGCTTCAGTTTCTCCCTTTCTATAATGTGAAGAACAGTAAGATGCGTCTGCCCCTCCAGATCCACTGTCAACCCTGTTCACTCAACCCTCTGTCCCAGAAGCTGATCTCTGTGGACTAAATCAATGGCTTCTGGTTGGGTTTGACCCGCTGGGACT